CAGCCCCAATGAAAAAATGCTAATGGATTGGTAGTGGATAGGAAGGATACAGAATTCAAAGCTGACAATTACACACACACATACACAACTTCACGTATGTGTGCGAAAAAGATGCTTGGAACTTGCGTTAAAGATGACGGCCAGAGGGACGTAATCCATCCCTTTCAAATTCTCCAAAATACATGGATGGAGGGCATTTCCTCCCTAGACTCCAATGGGAGTTACCTTCCATTAAGATGCTTAGAGAAATCTGCAAACTTGTTTGTTCTAGATCAGTGTTTCTCAACCTTGGTAGCTTGAAGATGGGTGGACTTCAACTCCCAGAATACCCTAGCCAGCAACGCTGGCTGGGGTATTCTGGGAGTTGAAGTCCACCCATCTTCAAGCTACCAAGGTTGAGAAACACTGTTCTAGATGCATGTGGAGATTTGGCTCAGGGTCAACGTATCAGAAGCAGCAGCAGCAGCAGCAGCCTGTATGAAGTTCTGCTTAGTGTTATTTGATTCCACATCAGAAATGCTCCAGAACTAATATCGATGGAACATCTAGAACTCCAGAACTAGACTTCAGCCTCGCAAGTTCCAAATTAGTTAGGATTCCTGGCCACGGATGTTCTCATAATTGTAAGCACGCTCAACTTTGGTCAACCTGTGTTCCTTCTGCCCTGTAGCTTGTGTTTTCCTGACCTTGTGGATCTTAAAACCTATTAGAAGACATGTAAGCGTTTCAACTTGGAACCAACCGGTCCTTCAAACAGGACTCATAATTCGTTAAACAAAGCCTATGACACGTTCTGTATCTTCAGCACCCTCCAGGAAAAGAAAGCTCATGATTTGAACCGTGGCTGATCCAATGCCATGAACCGCGGTGGATCAAATCCTTAGCCGTATTCAGGTGTTCTAAAAATCCTAGCCACAGAACGGGGAAGGGAGGGCTGTCGTCTTGCCAATTTTCCCAGCTCTGATCTCCCTGGGAATGGGAGAGGAATGTAACCATTCTCCACGCCGAGCAATTTTGTGTGATCGGCCAAAGGATCTTCCCCCACTGAGAGAAGAATTAGACCAGAGCTGGGGTCACCAACGTGGCATCTCTTAACTTAAAACAAGAATATACATATTTGTTTTTTTAATTAAATTGGTTCGTCTTTTTGCAAAATCTGATGGTTTTAAATGGGATTTGGGCAAAGTTGTCCAACATAACTTTTTTTTTTTAAAAAAAGGGAAGGGGTGGTTGTTATGGTGCCTGAAAAAGTTGGTGACCCCTCTGCTAGAAGATGCATGAATGAATACCTGAATAGACAACGGGAAAACATCTTGGACAAACTTAAAACAAAAGTCACAATGAAATGTCACCAACTACTGGAATGGAATTTTGTTTAAAAAATATAACTATATCAAACATTATACCAACAACAGGAGTGTCATTCATAGACCCAACATATTGTACTAAGCAACTGTCCGCAATTCCCAGAGATCTAAGCAGCGGTTCCCACACCTTGCAACCAGTCCTGGGACTCAACTGCCTTTGTAACATCAAACAGGCGAGTTGGTGCTAACGAAGTTAAATCTTCACTTTATGTGGGACCCTCCTCGGAAGAAGCCGCGCCCCGTATGCAGAGGAGGAAGCTAAACTGGAAACCTGCCTTCTCAAATGCTCTGCTTCATACTGACTTCAAAAATTAAATCAACAGCGGGTAGCAGTTCTATTTTGACATAGCAGATCTCGCTCTGAAACCAAACCGCGTCCTGCACATCATTGAGGTAACCAAGGGACTCAGACCATTCTTTGAAGGAAAGGCCACCTCCAAAATTAAAAACTGAATAATTGTGGGTGTTTTGTTTTTTTAAAATGCAGGGCCATTAAAATTTAACAAACTTCATTGGGTAGCATCCATGCAAAGGCTCAAACACGATACATGTTCATTGACCTCCTTACTGGATGATTGGAAGGCAAGTACCCAGCTATTGATAGTTCAAAAAGAAAAGGGACTGGAAGTAAAATTGCAAGACACGGTACTACTGTTTAAACCAGCCTTCCAAAAATCTTCTGATTTTAGACTGAGCTCCCATAATCTCTAGCCAGGACAACTATTGATTGCCCTCTGCTGCCCTATCTCCAGAGTATTATATACAAAGGTGTAAAAATAGGCAATCCACGCAAACGGAGCTGGGTCTTTCCTTATGAGAAGTGAAAAGTCAGAACCGGTCTTGAATTGATTTCATATGGATGCTGTAGAGCAAGGGTGTCCAACCTTGGCAAGTTTAAGACTTGTGGACTTCAACTCCCAGAGTTCCTCAGCCAGCTTTGCTTTGCTGGCTGAGGAACTCTGGGAGTTGAAGTCCACAAGTCTTAAACTTGCCAAGGTTGGAGACCCCTGTTGTAGAGAATATGGTGGAAGAGAAGGCCTTCTCCTCATAATGGCAAGACCTCAAGATCACCCAATGCGATCGAATAGTAACAGATCCAACCTCTGGATTGTGGTCCTGCTATGAAAAGTGGTTTACAGAGGACCAATGGCTTAAACCAGGGAAGTCCCTCCTTTAGTTGCATTGAGACTACAATTTCCTACACTAACTTGGCCATTCAAGCTAAGCACTTCTAGATTTGCACAACAGGTGTACCAGTCAGCATGGCTTGTCCATTGCAAACTGGAAATGCTGTTACATCCAAGTACTGGGAGATCTGGGGTATGGGTGGGGGGCATAGTTTGAATGAAGGATTTATAACAGATGGACCCGTGGTTGGGCTTAGAAAAGCTCTTTTGAGACTTCTGTGAATGAATGGAGCAAGTGGCCTAACTTTCTGATCTCCTTGGTGAAGCCAATTCGGGTTTCTATGCTTTGATCAATGACATCCAGCGACTGAGGTTGTTATCATTTCAATCCAAACCCATCCAGAAAGTAAAATAAATTCTCCCATCTCTTAAAAACCCTGCAGAAAATTGCAGCCTTGTGCCCAATATCAAGCCAACACAATTTTTTTTTTTTGACATGCATAGACAATATGAGTTCACTATCAACAGAAAGACAGTATGGAGAGAGAAAAAAAAGGCAGTTAGATAATGTCATCGGGGCAACGTGCAAAAAAAAATTGCAATAACAATACAAAACATCTGTGGAAACCAACATGGGTATTGAATGAAATATGAATGCCGAACACTATGGAAGAATTGAGGTGATTTGATTGAGGTGAGCCCAACCTTTTTACACAGGCCTACGCGTTTAATCACACAACTGCCTTACTTCTGAATGCTTATGAAATGTATGTCCTGATGGGCATTGCAATGTTAGTTTTCTTTCCTAATATTTTAAGCCAGGAGTCTCCAACCTTGGTAACTTTAAGACTTCAACTCCCAGAATTCCTCAGCCAGCAAAGGGAGTTGAAGTCCACAAGTCTTAAAGTTGACAAGGTTGGAGACCCCTGTTTTAAGCCACCTACGTACAACTAAAAGTAATAACATGGACAGTTTGGGGAGGGGGGAAATCCTCTTAAACCAGTTGAAAGATCTGAAGATCTAAACAGGAGATTAGTATGTGCAAGAGAGGAGAGGCCACCACTGAACACACAGACACATCACCTGAAAGAACAGAAGGACCTCAAGCAAAGAATAGCCAGGATCTGCTGCCTACCAAAACCCATTTTAGAATCAAGCACGGCCTTAGGATGCCTTTCATCTCTTTAGAGGCCAACTGGTGGATATTGACACAATTAAGTTTTTCTATCATCTAGTTGAGCATGACATAATTCAGAAGTCATCCTTTTAACTTGGAGTCTCCAGATTGTGCTAAGAACGCACACCCCCAAATACAGGCTGAGAATCCAGATTCAACCCAGCTGGATGACTCCCAAACCGAGGGAGACGATTACAAGCTCTGTGGGTATGAATAGTGGCCAGAATGGAGAACCACCACTTGACCAGCAGATCAGTGAAGGCCAGGACTCCGTCACCTGATGGTTTTCACAACCGCAAAACATCATTTGGAGGTTCAGGAAAAACAATCCGAGCTGTCAAAACAGTTTTTCAGCCTATAAACACACACCATGTCTTCCTACCAGCTCATTCCTCTCTCCAATCCTACACCAAGTTGGTTTTAGGGAACCCCATTTCACCGATCTGCCAGAGAAATAAAGGTCTACTTCATGTTCAGGTAGATGTCACTTGGTTCCAACATCTCTTTCAGGGGTTTGGAGGCACCTGGAGAACTTCAAAAGGATTAGACCACCTCTTCTGCATCCACATTCGACATGTGACTAGGAGCTAGCCAACCTGTTAATGCTCCCCATCTTTAAACCCTACTTCATCCCAGCAGATAACCTGGTTTGACTCCACCAAATGGTACCCCTGGGATTTTCACCTGCCTGTTCTAACTAGAGGGACAGGAGCTTTTCATTTGTACTCAAAACCAAGTGAAAACTGCTTTCAATCCACAACACACCACAGAGACAAAAGCATTTGTGAGTGTAAAGCAGCAACAACTTTCTTCTCCAAGGGATTTTGTGTGTGTGTGTGTGTCTGGGTGTGTTCAGCAGTGACCTTCTTCTCTAAAAACCCGGAGGATGTGGTTTGTATAACAAATGAGGTCGCCAGTATTCAACAGTATATTGTCGGCTGCTGAGAAAACGTGAGATGTATATTTTTATATATATATACACACAAAAAAAAGAGTGAGGTAGATAAAATGTTTGAAAAAAAAAACGAAATAAAAACTGTCCCGTCATAACTCAGAAAAACAAACCCTTATTTCAGTATTTAAAATGTATTATGGGGCACTTCTACAGTGATTTAAACTGAGAGCACAAATTTTTTTAAAATAAATAAAAAGAATCCTACATAGAATACTTTTTTTTCTTTTTTTCTTGCTCTTTTTTTTTTCTCAAAAAAGGGGGGAAATAGTTAACTATGGAGGAGGCGAAAAGATGGTTGGGACTGAAGCTACACAAGCAAAAAATAAAAGAAAGAAAGCACTACAAACATAACTTCATAATCTCCAGTCACAATCTAGCAGTTTATATTTTAATTCTTTGTTCTTAGTCAAACACAAAACCCCTGGCCAATATATATATAATATATATATATATATATATATATATATTAAAAAAAGAAGAGGAATCAATATTTCCAACCCAGAACAAACCTTCATCTGCTGCCAGATATTTTTCTTTTTTTGGTTTAATCAGTGCTAACACAGAATTTCCACGTCGGGCTACAGTTGGATTTAGCCAGTTATCAACAACCTCTTGAGTTCTCCTCTTTTTCAACCAAACCCATTGCAACACCTTAATTCGGTTTCACCTCTTATCACTTTTCTCCAAAACTTCTATCCATCCTCTATTTCCTCTTTTTGGACGCAGCAGTGGCCAAAGATACCCGGAAATCAGAGGAAAAGTTGAGCGACCTTGCAAAAATTCACCACTGGCGAAGCATGAAATGCGTGCTGTTTCCTAGGATGGAAAGGCTGATGCTTGGAAAGACAAGGCCGCACGCAGCCTTTCACCTACATCTGATGTACTTCGGGATGTTGTGGTGGTTTGCGAGAGACAACCCAAGCTTGAAAGGGCCAACGGGAAGGAGGGCAAGGCAATGCCACACTGCTAAAAGCAGACCCACATGCTAAATCAAGGATTAATAACTCCCAGAATCCCTGAGCCGGTCCTGAATGAGAATTCCATGCTGGGACAGGAATTTCAGGAGTTGAAGTCCACGGGTCATAAAACTGCCATAGTTGCCCATCCTTGCATTGAATAGTTAATTTTTTCTCTCTTTTTTTGTGACCTGAGTCTCCATCCTACCTCGCACTGTAACAGACCTGGGTATGCGCCAAGAGAGAGGATGGTGATTCAAGAGGGCATAATACATAACCGGGCATGAACATCGATTGGCAACGTACTTTTCCCGTCAGCCCCACAAAGCGTGCTTTAACCCAAATAGACGGTCATAAATATATATAGATAGATAGATATATTTCAAAGCAAAAAAAAAAAAACCCGAAAGGAGAAGACAGAAGAGGAGAGAAAGCAAGCAAAAAACAAAAACGAAACCAGGAAAATCTTTCAAAGGTGTTAAAACCATCGATGGCAAATCGCGAATCCAGGTACGGCGGTTCGGGAAAAGAGGTGGCAGGATGAAGGTGAAAAGGTCCAACTTTATATATATAGTACAAAGCATGAGGGAAGAAATTCATCGGAAATGGAAGGACGGGAAGTGGGGGGGCAGGCGGAGGGGAGAGGAAGGAGGAAAGAGGGTTGACCTGAAGATTTTTTTTCTTTTTCATAGATTAAATCCACAAAGATAAAGAACAAAAAAATAGCAGCTTTTTTTTTTCTGTACAGACATATAGATGAGTATCTGAACTGTAAAAAAGTTATAAAAGTGACACAAAAAGACAAATGTGTATGCAAATGAGCCATGGTCTAACATAGAACTGCAAGACCCCTTGAAGTCTTATTAACAGAGGGGGGAAAAAAAGTCATCGAAGAGTCGGAGGCCTGAATCTGGTTTAATTGCCCATTCTTCTCCTGTGAGTGTGTGTGGGTTTTTTTTTTTTAGTGTTTCTCTAAGTTTTTTCTTTTCTTTTTCATTTAATTCTTTTTTCCCCCCTTGCAAGCCTGCCAAAGACCAGAAGAAACAACTCATGGCAACGCTTCCTGTTTTGCTTGTCTGTATTTCCATTCTGGAGGGCCGGGGTTGAAATTTCTGCACAAGAAGCATCTCTATCCTCCCCTCGTTGCTCGCATCCTCAATGCCAGTTGTATCCAGAATGAACGGGCAGGGTTGCTAACTCGACAACCATCCCTTATGTTCTCCACCGTGTTTCTTTTTTTTTATTTTTTAAAAAAAGAAGAGAGAGAGAACTGTTTTTTTCTTTCGTCCAGTCAAAAAATAATAATAATAATAATAATAATTTTTTGTTAAGCTTTTCTAAAAATGCCAGTGTATGATAGATACGGGAGTGTATTGGTCTGTATTTTGTTTCAACGGGGATGTGTGATTGGAAAAAAAAAAACAAAATCCAAAAACGAAATAAAACAAAAACAAGGAAAACCCTAAAAGAAAATTCTCTCTCTTTTTTTTTTTTTGGCAAAGTTTGGCAGCGCTGGAAAAAGTTATGATCCTTCGGTCTTTTGTGTGATCCTAGAAAGTTTTAAGGAATCATAGTAAAAAAAAAAAAAAATCTAGTCTTTTCTCTCTCTCTCTTTTTTGTAACCATCTATAGAGTGTCAGGCAGGGAAGGGAAATAGGAGAGCTGGTAGGCCTGTCGTTTTTTTTTTTCCTCGGATGTAAAATTTTAAGAAACGAAAAAAAAAATCGAGTTGAACTTCACACAGACATGTTTCCCATCATGAAGCAGAAAGAAAGGAGAGGAAAAGGGAGACACACATCAGATTCTCAAGTTTGTTTGTTTGTTTTTCTGTTGCTATTAAGTGTTAATAATTCAAAGTGTTTTTTTTTTTAAGAAGGCTGACTGTGCCCCACATGTACAGAGAGTTCTGTTGCTCGAAGCGATCTCCTGCTTTGCATATTGAAACGACAAAAAAAGAGAAAGAAAAAAAATAAGAAAAGTCATTTCGACTTCGAAATCGAAGAGAGGATTCTCCTGTGTGCAGTTAATGACAGTTCTTGAAGATCCACTGAGGTACAGTCGGCTTTTGAAGAATATATTGTTATTTTCTCGCTTGCTCTCGCCTTCCTCCCAAGCTCACCCCCCTTCAGGTGCACGAGCCGTGTTATTTCTGCATTTGCAAAAAAAAAAACCCCGAAAACAAAACAAAACAAAAAAAAAACGCCCCCCAAAACCCAACAACCTGTTTTCTCAAGGTCAGCAGGCTGAAGACTGGGGTAAAGGCAAGGCCCGTTCATTCTTGCGTCCCCCGTTCATGTGGGCGTAGGACTGCCTCTCCTCAAAGCTGGCCCGGAGGACCATGACACCCGGGCCATTCTCAGCTTTGTGTCCTGAGTGTTTGTCAGAAGGCTGGAGGGTAGAGGAAGGATCTAAAGGAATGCTCTCCATGTTCTCCGTCTCCAAGTCAAGCTCTTCCGTGTCAGGAGGCTTGTTCTCGTCGCTGTAGAAGAAGGAGACCTCTTTGAAGGCTGGGTCCAGCTCGTCCTTGATGCTGCCGATGATCTCCAGGAAAGAAGGGCGCATCTTGGGGTTGTACTGCCAGCACATGCGCATCAGTTCGAAGCTGGGAAGAGAAGAGGGGACAGCAGACATTGTCTCATTCAAGAAAGACTTGGGTTTAGCTTTTGATCGGCCTAAAAAATGTCCCAAAGGTGCCTTTTTCAAGAGGCAACTCTGGTCTTTCTTTGAAGGCGTTTCACTTCTCATCCAAGAAGCTTCTTCAGCTCTCCTTCTGAAGAAGAAAAAGAACAACCCTGTGAGCTGAAGAAGCTTCTTGGATGAGAAGCGAAACGCTTTCAAAGAAAAACCAGAAAGTCCAGAGTTGCCTCTTGAAAAACGCACCTTTGTGACAACCACGACCTGGATCAGGGGTGAAATCCAGCAGGTTCTGACAGGTTCTGGAGAACCGGTAGCGGAAATTTTGAGTAGTTCAGAGGCCCTCCGGAGACCGGAAACGGCCCATTTCCCGACTTCCCGTGGGACCGGAAGATCCATTTTTCACCCTCCCCAAGCTCCAGAGGCTTTCCAGGAGCCTGGGGAGGGCGAAAACCACCTTCCCCACCCACCCCCCGAGGCCAGTTTCCCGACTTCCAGTGGGACCGGAAGGCCCAAAAATCAGCTGGCTGGCGCGCTTGCGCACTGGACCTGAGCTAGGGCAACACTTGCGTGCCCACTGATATGACTCCACGTGCCACCTGTGGCAGGCGTGCCATAGGTGTGCCATCACGGACCTATAAAGTCCCTTCCAACTCTTGTTAATCTGTACAATAAAGGAATTAGAAATAAACATTCCCCGATTTTTGCTTAATGCCGCCCCTCCGTCTTAAAGACAAAACCAGGTTCCGGAGATGTTGGGTTTTATTTCCTCTTCCTCTTTTATTTGCAAAGAGCCAGGCTGGCCCAACCCAGCCAGAAATCTGCCCCAGATCTAACGAACCAAGATCCATTTCGCTGACTTCACACCCGTCCGTTTCCCCAGCTGCCTCTTTGTCTAAAAACAACCAGCTGGGACCGAGGACAGGGAGAGCAGCAGCAGCTCCTTGCCCGGCTGGCTGAAGGGAAACGCGGAAGAGATACCACAAAGAGGCCAGCGGGACACATGTGCCAGCAAGCCCATGTGACACTTCCTTTGAGGCCATTCCACCAGCCTGCCATAAAAGGAAGTTTCCCTCAGCCGGTGGGGGTTCGAAGGCCTTGTTGACGAGGCCTCGGAAACCCGAAGGCTCTTCCAGAAATGGGAGGAAGAGGGAGACGGTTTGCTACGGGGAGCTACGGGGATCACGAGGGAGGAATGAAAAGGCGTCTCTGACGGCACCTTCCTTTGGCACGCAGTGACGTTTGCAAGCAGGACAAACAACAACTGCTGAGCTGCTGCCCTTTTGATTTCCGGCCGCAGGGGCTCCCTCCCGCTCTCTCACCCTCCCTCTCTCTTCCTCTGTGTCTCCCTGCCTCCCTCTCTCACCTTCTCTCTTTATCTCTCTCCCTCTCTCTGTCCCTCTCTGTCTCTATCCCTCTCACTCCCTCTTTCCCTCTCTCTCCCTCCCTCTCCCTCCCTCCCTCTCACCTTCCCTGTGTCCCTCTCGCTCCTTCTCTCACCCTCCCTCTCTCCCTCTTTCCCTGTCTCTCTCCCTCCCTCTCATCTTTCTTGTGTCCCTTTCCCTCTGTCCATCTGTGTCCTTTCCCTCTCTCTGTGTCCTTTCCCTCTCTCTGTGTCCCTCTCCCTCCCTCTCGCTCCCTCTTTCCCTCTCTTCCTCTGTGTCTCCCTCCCTCCCACCTTCCCTCTTTATCCCTCTCCCTCTCAGTCCCTCTCCCTCCCTCTGTCTCTCTCCCTCTCCCTCCCACTCTCTCTTTCTTTCTCTTTGTCCTGGGGAATTCCTTGCCACTTCTTCAAAGCCTCACCAACCCTCAGGTTGGGGCGTTGCTCCACGGGAGGAAAAGCTGCACCTCTCTCTCTTGGGAATTATACTTTTTTCCTCTTTTCTTTCCTTGTTTCATTTCCATCCGCTGCTTCTTGTCCTGTCTTCAAGTGCTTTGGAGAATAGGCTGTCCTCCCTCTTCTTTGTAGCAGCCCCTCAAATATTAGAACATTGCTATCAGGTCGCCCCCCCTAGTCCTTCTCTAGACTAGCCATAGCCAATTCACTTAACAACCCTATGGCTAACTTAACAACTGCACGGATTCACTTAACAACTGTGGCAAGAAAGGTTGCAAAATTGGACGAAGCTCACTCAATTGTCTCGCGTAGCAACATAAAAGGTTGGGCTCAACTGTGGTCGTACGTCGAGGACTACCTGTGTGCCAACAGCTCTGCCTGCCAGCTGGATTTCACCGTCCCTGGAGGGGCCGGGTTAGGAAAACACCTTCAAGAGCTATTGACTGGGGCAGAAATGCTTTTTTTGCTTTCATCTATCGCTTTCTAAAAGGGAAGGCTGGAAGAGCTGACCAGCCATTGAGAGTAATTTGATCAGCTTACAGGGGACGGGGGGACCCAAAACATTTCTTCATCCAAGAAATTATGTCAATTTATACCTATTAGCAGTTCTCCCCCGTTAAACGGCAGTTTAAAAGCTATCCTCAGACAAATCTCCCCAACCTTAATTACCCGGGCTTAAACATCATTTTCGTTTTCAATTGCTAGAGGGGGAAAACAGGGGAGGTCTTGATTTATTAATAAACGCTCTTTGCCCATGAAAATTCAGACTGGAACATCTTTTCTGCTTTGCAAATCTGCACATCCGTGCCCCCTCCGTTCCCCCCTGGCTGGCCTGGTTAAATAATTCCCCTCTGTTTTTAGCAGAATTTCAAAGCTTGCTGGAGATTTCCCATTCTGAGGAGGGGGGGGGGAAATAAAAATAAGGTGGGGAATTCAGTTCCTTAGCAACGCCCCGACAGCCGCCTCCTTTGCCCGACTCCAGCTAGCGAGCTAGCAAAACAAGGTTGAACTGTCACCTGATACCAGTCTAAGCCCTCTGGCTAAATAAGCTCTTTTCCTGAGAATCTCAAACAGCTGAGGCCCCTTAAGCAGTTGCATCCCTCATGCGGGCCTCGAACCAAAAAAGGGGAGGGGGGGGGGGAAAAGGCAAGCAAAATAGTGTTTTTTTCCTTCCAGAAAGCCACTATTCACACAAGTTCTGTATTTGCCAACTCCGAGCCGAGCCCGACACAATCGGGTTTGCAAAATCATCGTAAAGCTTCGGAAAACATATATAAGGTGGAAAGTCTGGGTCTCTGGAAAAAGGAAGGAGGGGGTCCCCAGTTGAATTCAAAAGATGAAAAAAAAAATCCTGCTTTGATAGAAGAAGAAGGAAAAAAAAAAAACTTTTAACAAGGAGCCGTTTCTTTTCTGGAAATTTCCAGTGGAAAATTTAAGCCAGGATCGGTCGAATGAGTCGTACGTTGAGATCCCTATCTTATTTCAAAAATGTGAACTAGATTAGGGGCCTCCAACCTTGGCCACTTGAAGTCTTGTGCATTTCAATTCCCAGAATTCCTGGTGGATTAACATCTTTAAGGCCCTTACGAAAGGATAGGGGGATTTGGGCCAACCTCACATTAGGGGGACCCAGATGTTCCAGAGGGCAGGAGCAACAGCAGAGAAGGCCCTCCTCCTGGATCCCGCCAGCTGGAATAATCGGGCTGATGGGACCCATAGCATGCCTCCTCTGCTGGCACGAGTGGGATGGGCCAATCCCACAGCAGTCAGGTGAAGAGGACAAGGCAGGCAAAGACAGGGAAGGTCTGGATATACGTACAGCATGTCTGGGCAGTTGTCTGGCTTTTCCAGGAGGCCTCCCTCCATCACGAAACGTAGAACTTGTTCATTGGACATGCCTTGGTAAGGCTGCTCCGCTAAGGTGGCAATTTCCCACAAGACAACGCCGAAAGACCTACAAGGAAAAGGTTAAGAAACGTAAGAGACACCTCAAGCTTAAGATTTGTCTGGAGGAACTCAAAAGTAAAACGTGTATAGAGATGCAGGAGAAGGAATGGCCGAACATGGAGGAGGAGTGAAAACAGGCATCAGCCTAGCATCCTTACATCGCCACAAGCAAACCAAGTCCAGCCCCCTTTGAGTACTGTTGGCCTTTATCTAATTCTAACCAAGTGTTGACTGTTAGTTGAGAAGATTCCTGTGCATAGGCATTTAGCAATAAATCAGTTTAATTGAACCTTCCCATGTGGGCCTGGTCTTGTACTGATAAAAACTTACAGAAACACTTGGGTATTGGAGAAAGGGGCACGTGCAACCGGCAGACAATTCCCGCAGTGACGACATCCCACAAATTTGTGTATCTGCGTCACAACAACTGTGTCACTTACATACGTTATGATTATGTTGACAGTGTGGCACCATCATAGTTCTTTTTTAACAGGCGTGTGAACTTTGCTATAAAAAGGCAGTGTTATGTAATACAACTAGGGAATAATACTGCAATTATAAGTATAAATTAACACAGGCTAAAAGGGTAGGCACAAACTGAATCAATAATAATAACAGCCACTGCTCTTTTTATGCACTCCCAAAAAATAAAAAGCCCATAGGGTCTGATCTGGTGAAATTTAATTTGGAGTCAATTGTACAAACTACACTTTGGATAAGGTAATAAATTGATTTGTTGCAAACAGACTGGAAGCTTTTATCTCCTGTCTTTGTGTGGCTGCCACGCTGAATCCGACTCAATTGTAAATATTTTAAGTCAACCAATGTAATCCCCAAATTCGGCTTTGAATGGGACACTTAAACATGCTTTAAGCATATTCAGTTGATTTATTTTATTCTATTTATTGAATCCCTGGTCAGAGGCTGGAAGAAAAGCTCAAATACAATATAAATCAGTAAGCAGAGTGCAGAAGACAGAAATAATGGCCCAAATTCAAAAAATTGATCATCTAAACCTGATATGGAGACCTCCCAAAGCATCATTCGAACACAGCATCTTCAGGTGGCAACTGCAACTTTTGATGCAAAATCCACCAAGAAAAAGCCCACTGCCCCTTCCTCTCCAATATAATTAAATTCCCCCCCCCCAAAATTTTTTTTTAATTATATTGGATCATGTGGAAAAAGAAGTTTAAAATATTGATGTTCCCTTCAACATTAACTTGCTACTTTGGTTATGGAATGCATTCTGGATCTGTATACTATTAAAATTCTTGTTGTTGGGACCATTAACTGGATAAAATGGCATCATAGGGCAACCGTTTTTAAACCAAGGCATCTTAAATGGGCTAACATATAGAATGTGTCAAAAATTCAGGACCCAGGACTCCCAAGAGATCAAAATTTGGAGAGGTTGTGGCTGCTTCAATGGTGTTAGCTGCTGCTACACTTATGAGACCTTATTTTTCAACATTCTGTGACAGTTTCCCAGCCAGTCTCATAATCCCTTACTCCTTGCCTCTTGTCCCTTCCCAGCAGGCAGGTAAACAGCTTCCCAGCAGGCTGTTTACCATCCTGCTGGGAAGGGAGAAGAGGGAAGGGAAAGGAGATTTTTGATGTTTTCTGCTAGAGTCTCACAAGGAAATCAATGGGGAAATCAGCAGGAAGTCAGAAGTTGCTCCTGCTCCCAATGCTCTTTTGTCTGCTCATGGTCAAATCATGTCACCTTTTATTATATTTATTTGATTTCTCTAGCCATCCATCTCAGCAAATGACTTTGGGCTGCTCACAATTCAGACCAGGGTGAAATCCAGCAGGTTCAGACAGGTTCTGGAGAACCGGTAGCGGAAATTTTGAGTAGTTCGTAGAACCGGCAAATAGCACCTCTGGCTGGCCCCAGAGTGGGGTGGGAATGGAGATTTTGCAATATCCTTCCCCTAGGAGTGGGGTGGGAATGGAGTTTTTGCAGTATTCTTCCCCCAGGAGTGGGGAGGGAATGGAGATTTTGCAATATCCTTCCCCCAGGAGTGGGGAGGGAATGGGGATTTTGCAGTATCCTTCCCCTGCCACGCCCACCAAGCCACACCACGCCCACAAAGCTACGCCCATAGAACCGATAGTAAAAAAATTGGATTTCACCACTGATTCAGACCATACATTACTATTAAAACCTTTTAACACATTTTAAAACAATAGAAACATTAAAAAGAAAGAAATCTGGAGTTACCAAGAGCATCTAATCATGCAGTGTTTCTCAACCTAAGCAACTCCAAAATACGGGGACTTCAACCCCCAGAATTCCCCAGTCAACATGGTGGCTGGGGAATTCTGGGAGTTGGAAGTCCACACAACTTAAAGTTGCCAAGGTTGAGAAAGACCGACCTCATGGCTGGCTCTTTCAGAAGACACCATATTTAGATGCCTGGAGCCCCATTTGAACAAAGGAAAGCCTCGGTGACAGGAAAATCTAAGGAAGATTTATAGAAGAAAAAAAAAATGGCCAGAAGTTAATATCCCTGCTTAATTTATTCATGCCACATAACCCAAAGTGACTTTTATATTCCAAGTTGTACATATCTGCCGCGTTCAAAATATTCATTAAAAACCCGTTATCCAAAGGGAGGCCATATTTGCAGCATGTATGAATTCTCCACAACTCTTGAAATATTGAAATTCACTTATGGAACTCCTGATAGTAACCAAAATGTTGTTTACTCTGGGATCTGGATCCAAATGAGCTCTCATCGACAACCTCAGTTCTGCCGTGTTTATTTTTATTCCGTCAGCGGAATATAAAATAAAAACGAGGCAGCTCCGCTCCAAAGTTAGCTTTTCCAGAAAGCTGGACTGCAAGAGAGCAATGGCTTTCTCCATCCCAAGAATTTTGCAGCCGGCAGCCAAATTCTGCAGCGGGTTTCCCAAAATATACAAATCTATATGTAACAGCCATGCTGTTACAAGCCTGCCAAGCCTGGAGATCTAACAAGCTTCACTGGGGCTGTGGGAAACTAGCACGGAAAAACGATGACACCCATTTTTAACTCTTACAACTTGGAAGCCATCGTATTGAGGAACTCACTCTCAAGTGGATTCCAGCACAGGTAGCCCTCGACTTACAAATTTAGTGACTGCTCGAAGTTGAGACGGCACTGAAAAGTGACTTACGGCCATTTCCCACGCTTACAACCATCACCTAATCAAAATTCAGACACTTGGCAACTGGCATGTACTTATGACTGTTGCAGGGTCCCGAGGTCACGTGATCAAAATTCAGACGCTTGGCAATTGACCCATATTTACTGTATGATGGTGGCAGTTTCCCAGGGCCATGCGGTCACATTTTGTGACCTTCTGACAAGCAAAGTCAATGGGGAAGCCAGATTCACTTAACAACCGTGTTACTGACTTAACAACTGCAGTGACTCTGTCAACTTGCAAAGCTTTCAAGTTGCCATGAGGAGGAGGGAGGGAGAACTGTTAGAGCTGATTGATTTCCCTAACTGAAGCTACATTCCATAGATGCTTTCTTACCGCAATCAGTAGGAGGGTGTTGGGTTTCACAGCCAGCCAAAGTGGTTAATTGGAGAATGTGATTTATGACATGGCCAGGGAGGAGGGGAGAGACAGGGTCATAGGGGAACGTAAATCTACGTGGGATTAGTTCTAACTGCATCCGAATATTGCCGAAATGGTGCTCCTAATAAATGACTGTATTTCTTTTGAAGTTTGGCTCATGGCTCATGAATTAATTAGGGCATCTTTCGGAAACTTCACAGACTCACTTAACAATGGTGGCAAGAAAGGTACAGGGTAAAATGGGACAGGCAAAGTTCACTTTTAACGACAGAAAATTTGGGCTCGATTGTGGTTGTAAGTGGAGGACAACCTGTATTTGGTTCTTCCTGTTACATCTACTGTAAGGGACCCTGCCTAATCAGAGAAATGGACCAGTTTTAAAACCAAACAGTTTGAACTTTTTTGTGGGGGTGGGGTGTTAAGCATGACAAAAGCTTCCCTAAGGAAGTAGAATTCCCACCCTGAGATGTTTACAGCTTTCACAGCAGAGTATCTTCAAAGCCACATCTATCTAAACCAGTGTTTCTCAACCTTGGTAGCTTGAAGATGGGTGGACTTCAACTCCCAGAATTCCCCAGCCACCATGTTGACTGGGGAATTCTGGGGGTTGAAGCCCCCATATCTTGAAGTTGCCTAGGTTGAGAAACACTGCATCAGAGACTCTTGGTAACTCCAGATTTCTTTCTTTCTTTCTTTCTTTTTTTACTATTTATATTGTTTTAAAATGTGTTAAAAGATTTTTATTGTAATGTATGTTCTGGGAATTGAAGTCCACAAGTCTTAAAGTTACCAAGTTTGGAAATCCTGATTAAAACCCAAGTTTCAGGGACCGGCAAAGAGCAATCAAAGAGCGCTTTGATAAATAATTTTCTTTATTACCAAACATCCGAGTGGGTCGTGAACACGCCATCCTTCAGTGATTCTGGGGACATCCAGCGGACCGGCAGAAGTCCCTTTCCACCTTTCCGGTAGTAATCAGTCTCGTAGATATCCCTCGTCATGCCAAAATCTACACAGCACACAACAGGCAAGTATGCGCTCAGCAAATTGCAGTTCAAGCAGAAATCAAAATAACAGCAAAACCAAGTTTAGCCGGCAGACTTCGGTGGTGTAGCTCTATTAGCTCAAACTTTTATTTCTGCTTTATAGCGCCCCTGGGAATGTACTAAAATACCTCATTTTATCTGCAATCACAAAGATTGAGAGGGAAATGAGATGGCCACTACGTTTCCTATCGATTTCAGCTTCATTTATTTATTATTTTAAAGATAGTGAGGGTTGTTGTTGTTGTTGTTTTTTAAAGCATGCTGGGCTACAAATGAAGTCCTCGGTGCTCTCTGATTGTTGTCTTGTAAACCTTTCACGACCTGACTAGGTAACATCATCAATGCGAAGAAGGGTAGGGTTTGCTTCCTGTTTATATACAGTAGCTTGCCCCGTGATTGTTATTGGCAGGAGTGTGATTTTTCTCTCTGGTAGTTCCTTGATTTGGCTATTGTTTTCTGCTTGATTATTTGTCTGGGGTTAATCCCTGCTTATCTGGCAGTTAGTTGCTGGGGAAGATGTATTCTGGTCTTTTTGGTTCCAAAATCAGGTATCAATCTCTAATGTCACCTTTATTACAAAAACCTCTCTTAGTCTCCTATGGTGTCATAATTTCAAGGTGGGCCAAGGCACAAAACAGGCTACTAAAAGTCTATTGGAAGTCTACTTTTGTCATCCCCTGAGCTACTGCAAGGAAATACTATAATGTAGAGCATTCCAGACTTTGACAACTCTATTACAAAAATCATAGTTTTTACAGTCAAGTTTAGAATCAAATTAAATCTAAGACGAAGGTAACTCCCCTTGCATTCTCATTTTCAAGGTTATGTCCATCCCCTTCTATATACGGGTTGCAAAATGAGTTCCAAAAACACTTAAAAGTTGGTGGCTACACTCCAGTGTTTTGATTGGAACTGGTTAGAAACTCATGGAGGGACCTTGGAGGTCTTCTAGTCCAACTCCCTGCTCAGGTAGGAACCCCTGTACCATTTCAGACAAATGGTTATCCAATGGACATGAAGCCTATCAAGAACTCAAGATTTTACACACACACACACATACCAAACTTGGAAATTTTTTCCCTATCTATTTCTTGGAAGGGTCACCAAGTCTTGCTTGTACATTTTCAGCCTGTTGGGTCTACAACAATATTAAATGGTTCCTTTTTTAATGTAGTAATGAAGTTCTACCTCCAATTTTCACAGTGAAGTCCTCGGCTACCATGCAGTTCCTGGCAGCCAGATCTCTGTGGACAAACTTGTTGGCGTTGAGATAAGCCATGCCATCTGCAATCTCCCCAGCCATCTGAATCATCTTCTTTAAAGGCGGAGGATTCTGAACGGGGTTGTTCTAAGGAAAAAATGGAGATCGCCACCAAGTCAATAAAGAAAGTTGAGCTTTCTTTCCTTATTCCAACCTCAAGACTTGGCTCATTTTTTAATGTCACGGCTGGCCATTCGTTTCATTGGCTGTCCAAAGGAACTAACTACCCCCTCTTGAAACGTGTGCCGAAAGGGTCCATATTCTCTCACATCCAAGAAGAGGTCCATGTTCTCTCTCACATCCAACAAGAGCTCCATGTTCTCTCTCATCCAACAAGAGCTCCATGTTCTCTCTCATCCAACAAGAGCTCCATGTTCTTTCTCATCCAACAAGAGTTCCATGTTCTCTCTCATCCAACAAGAGCTCCATGTTCTCAGATCCATGAAGAGCTCCATGTTCTCTCTCACCCAAGAGCTCCATGTTCTCTCACATCCAACAAGAGGTCCATGTTCTCTCTCATCCAACAAAAGCTCCATGTTCTCTCTCATGCAACAAGGCTCCATGTTCTCTCTCATCCAACAAGAGCTCCATGTTCTCTCACATCCAACAAGATCTCCATGTTCTCTCTCATCCAACAAGAGCTCCATGTTCTCTTTCATCCAACAAAAGCTCTATGTTTTCTCACATCCAACAAGGGAGAGGAAAGACAACAATAGTACAACGGGAGAGAAAAGAAAGAAACAGAAAAGTTCATACGTCGTCCACGCTCAGCCCCCAAGGTTGTTTCCACGATCATGTTTTTAGAAGCCAAGACATTTCTGTATCTCAGCTCAAGGAACGCTGCTTGGTTTACAGTCACACTTTCATCTTCACAAACACACCAGATGCTTCTACTATCTCCCCATGAATTATTTACAACAGAAGCCATCCACAAAGACGGCGAGAAGGGAAGAACACAACGAGATCTGCCAGCCCTAATTTCACTTTGATTTGGTTTTTGAGGACTCTCCCCTCCCCCCCCAGCCGCTTTCTCCTGCCTAACTTGGAACTTGTGACAACACACACAAGGGTGACTACTGATCTTCTGCTGCCAGCGTGAATATTAAATGTCAACCGCATGACTAAATATTAGTGTTTGTTGCAAAAACTCATTCATAATTCAAGGCAAGAGCAAAAGGGAACGGTGGCTGCTGTACTGAGAGTCACGAGCAATTAGCAGGGCTGTTTTACACTAAACAACCATCCTTGGCTTATTCAGAGTCAAAAGTAAGGGCGAAACATTTCAGACAGAGGCCCAGCAGCCAGCTGAGTAAGCAGCAGGGACAAAGGAAGGCGTGTGCAGCTATTTACAATTAGGTGGGCAAAATGGCTAGAGGATTGCCGTTTTGTTATTTATAAAAAAGAAGAATGAAAAAGCCGCGGTAAATGAAGGGAATGCTTCTTGCTGTTTAAATATTGAGCATCTCTGTACACCGAGTAGCTCTTTTTCATCTTCATACTTGCCTACCTGCTCACAAAAATTGAACATGCCTATTGCAGAATATCTTAACTCTTTCCTATCACGACATAACCAGTTAAGGAAAAAGTGGTGGCTTCCTTAAATCAAGTTTATGGAAACCATGGGCTAGCAGAATAGGATGGATCTACCCTGTTTCCCCCAAAATAAGACCTCCCCTGATAATAAGCCCAGTCGGGCTTTTGAGCGCATGGCAATAAGGCCAAGCGCTTATTTCAGGGTTCAAAAAAAATATAAGACAGGGTCTTATTTTTGGGGTAACATGGTATCTATCTATCTATCTATCTATCTATCTATCTATCTATCTATCTATCTATCTATCTATCTATCATCTGTCTGTCGGTCTATCTATCTATCATTTATCTATCTATCATCTACCCTCTTTCCCCCAAAATAAGACCCCCTGATAATAAGCCCAATCGGGCTTTTGAGCGCATGGCAATAAGGCCAAGCGCTTATTTCAGGGTTCAAAAAAAATATAAGACAGGGTCTTATTTTTGGGGAAACACGGTAGCTGTAGCAACACGGAAAACATCTGCCTAAGAATTCAGAATAAGAGAATTACAGAGTCGGAAGGGACCCCGAAGGTCTTCTAGTCCAATTCAAAGGACTAGACTTCGTTGAACACCCTATATTACTTGGGAAGCCATCTTCTTTTCACAAAGCACATGCAATTCCCACACCCCTACCACAAACATACTTCCGTGTCCGGGCGGAGAGACCGCAGGTAACTCTTCAGATCTCCTCGGGTCATGAGTTCCATGATGACCAGAGTGGGCTGACCTTGAGAGACAACACCAAGGAGCCGAACCTAACAGAAGAAATAAGCAAATTAGATGCTTTGTAGCAGAAGGACAGGCCGAGCCTGCTGGTGGAGTCAAGAGAGGAATAGACTGGAGTCATTACGTTCCCACAGTGAACCGGTAGGGAAGGTAAGTAGATTTGTTAGGGAATGGCTATAGCCTAACTGGTTGGGTTGGCAATATATATAAACCATCAATGCATGTTTGCAGTCAAAATGTAATGTATAGCTTTAAGACTGTAATGCTGTATTGCATCATACTTGGCTAGCTCTGTAGCCAATGTACTTAACAGGAAGCTTGAATCATGGCTTATTTTTCTGATTACATTATTATTGCTACCTCTGCTCCTTTCTGCCTGTTCTCTCTGCATGATCACTGCTTGGTCATTGCTACTTGTTGTTTTCTACTGTTTTACTGATTGTTTTACTGCTGTACTTGTTCCTGTTTGCAACTCCAAAAAGAACTGTTTTATTGCATATGACTAAACAACTGGTAAGAAGACTTTGTTTTTGGAATATCCCTGGATTGACAAATTAACTATCTTTATCTGTGTATGACCTGGATTGTTTATCGGACTTTGCTTTGCTTTTTCCTAAAAGTAAAAGAATATCACAATTCAGTGTGTCTGTGTATTGACAGTGCTTATTCACAATCACTCTCAGTCGTTTCTCATGTGCACAACCTTGCTACTCAAGGGTTACTCTGCGCATATTCCTTAACAAGATTTCACCCCTGGGTCCAATGTCTAGATGGCAATCAGGTGACTGTGTGGCCACTGGGACTGCTGGGACTTTGAGGACTGGTTGTTAAATACCACAAGTTCAGCGCTGTTGTGACTTCAAACAGTCACTGAAAAGATGGTTGGTAAGCGAGGACTACCACTAATGTACATGTAAGTCTGGGATGGCGGAAAGAAGTCGAGAAATCAACACAGCTTGGCAGAGTTCAGTCACTTACAACGTGGTGGCAGTTGAACTCCTTCATCACTGAAGCTTCGTTCAGAAACTCGATCCGCTCCCTCATGCTTGCTGATTCGTTGACGGTCTTGATGGCCACTCTGGTTTCTGGCTCGTCTTTCACAACCCCTTTGGCTACTCCCTCGTAGACCATGCCGAAGGAGCCTTGTCCAAGTTCCCGACACATCGTAATCTTTTCTCTGGGCACTTCCCATTCATCTGGCACATACACTATAAAATAATAATAATAATCACAAAAGTAGTTTGTGAAAATCACCGCGGTGCGTGAGGAGGGGAAAGAAGGGGAGCTCATTATATTTGCAGAGGACCCCAAGCTGGGGAGAAACAGCCCACGCTTGAGATACAGGGGTGTCAAGCTCTATTTCACTGAGGGCCGCATCAGGGTTGTGTTCGACCTCGGGGGGGGGGGGCGGCGGGGGGGGCGGGGCCAGGGGGGGGGTGGTCGGCTCCACGTCACTTGTGTTGGGGGCACCTGTGGTGGCCCGAGCACTCTGCCAGTGAAAATGGAGCTCCGGAGGGCTGCGTTGGCAGAGACACCATGGGCCGGTCCTTCGCTGTTTCCAGGGCGGCCCCACAGGCCAGATCTAAACCTTGAGTTTGACACCCCTGCTTAAGAAGATAGGCTCAACATCCCGAAGGATCTGGATAGACTTGGAGACTGGGCCATATCCCCAAAAATGAGGTTCAGTGCAGTAGTGGGTTTCAAATCCCGTCACTACCAGTTCGCTCGTGGGTGCGTACACACATGATGCTTCTGCATGTGCACAGAGACCTCCAGGCGGGTGGGCGGAGCCTCCCGCTGCCGCTGCTACTGGTTCACCTGACTCGGGGCGAATTGGTAGCAATCCACCACTGGTTCAGTGGTAGGATCATACGGTCTTACACTTAGGTAGCAACCAAAAGCACAGGAATAGAATAGAATAGAATAGAATAGAATAGAATAGAATAGAATAGAATAGAATAGAATAGATAATAGAATAGAATAGAATAGGAAAGAGTAGAGTAGAGTAGAGTAGAGTAGGTAGAGTAGAGTAGAGTAGAATAGAATAGAATAGAATAGAATAGAATAGAATAGAATAGAATAGAATAGAATAGCAGAGTTGGAAGGGACCTTGGAGGTCTTCTAGTCCAACCCCCTGCTCAGGCAGGAAACCCTACACCACTTCAGAAAAATGGTTATCCAATCTCTTCTTGAAAACTTCCAGTGTTGGAGCATTCACAACATCTGGAGGCCAGTTGTTCCACTGGTTCATTGTCCTCACTGTCAGGAAATTTCTCCTTAGTTCTAAGTTGCTTCTCTCCTTGATTAGTTTCCACCCATTGCTTCTTGTTCTATCCTCAGGTGCTTTGGAGAATAGCTTGACTCTCTCTTCTTTGTGGCAGCCCCTGAGATATTGTAACATAGATGACACCTGACTCAACACTAATAATTGTGACAGGAATTTATGTGTTCTAGTGGGCAACCACTTAAATATGAGCCAGCAGCGTGCGTCAGCTGCCAAAAAAGCCAATGCAATCCTGGGTTTCATCAACAGAGGGACAGCATCAAGATCATGTAAAGTTATAGTATCATTTTATACTTTTCTTTTTGGATAAAAATTTGGTGGGTTATGCAAAATGTTCTAAAGAAAAAAATTCAATTTTCTCCTCATTTGTTCTTATTGGGTATAGTTAAGGGTTTTTCAGTGGGTGAAACAAAATTGATATTGTATATGGTGACAGCAGCCAGGTTATTGATTGGTCAATATTGGAAAAGAGTTGATGTGCCTACAACTCAAGAATGGACCTTGAAGATGGCCAGTTTCGCAGAAATGGCGAAGATATCAGCATATTTAAAAGACTCAGGAGACTTATGCATGGGAGTGGAAGAATTGGATAGCTTATGTGCAGAATAAATACAAAACAAGGAAGTACCAGATAGTTTTTAGCTAAATGTTGTGTAGAAATGTATAGTTTATAAGGGGTGAAATAGTTTATTGTGATGTAAAAATTTATAGTGCACAGGGAGGGGAATAGAGGGGTGGTAAAGTATGACATAATATAATGTGGATGGAATTCACCTTGGGGAAGTCATGGGGAGGGAGGGTCTGGGGGGGTTGGGGAGGGATGGAGGGGGGAAAATGGGGGAAAAATTTGTTGTTTGTAAAACTTTTCCAATAAAAAAAAAAGATCATGTAAAGTTATAGTATCATTTTATACTTTTCTGGTAAGATTGCACTCCAGTTTTGATTGCCACAATATATAAAAAAAGATGTCTTCTGCTCGAGCAGGGGGTTGAACTAGAAGGCCTCTAAGGTCCCATCACATCTGTTATTGTATTCTGATATGAAAGCCACAGTACAAGCTGACAGCCTTAGAGACAAGGAAGTTTCCTTTTCCTGGAATAATATAACTATAAAAGGCCAATGTTTACATTCTTCGAATTTACACTCTTCCAATGTTTACGTTCAAACATAACATGCTTTGAAACTATTGTGTGGCGCCATCCTGTTGTAATCCTGCCCCTAAATTGTGAGGTTAGGAATGGATGAAATCCAAGAATATAAAGCGACGGTGTTGACATGTTACACTGAACTGTGTTTCTTTACTCACAGCTTAGCAAAGGAACCCACAACGCGTGCATTCTCACAACATGCTAAGCCTACACCTAACCCAAACTTATCGTGCGTAACTTTATGGCTAAAGTTTCCAATTACAAATCAGTGAATCTAGGAAAATAGCATCACAATTTACACCTCCAGATGATCCAGAGGAAAATGTGCAGATAATGAGGGGAATCGTAGGAGGCCAAAATTTTCAGGATCTGAACTACCAGACAATTTAACATTTGGCCTCACAGCACCTCATCAAAACATCTTAAGGAAGGAGAAGAATACTCTAATTAGAATCTGAACTGTACTTCTTCAACGTGAAATAATGCAAAGTTGGTTAAAAGTCCATTGGGAACAAATGACCACTCAGGTAGATAAAAATATCTCAGATTACATTCATCAGCATGTTTCAGCCATTTGTTTTCTCCTGAACCCTGAGATGGCTTTTTAAAATGAGCCACAACAGCCAGCCTTTTTGACTTCAAGAATAAAAACAAAATCAAGATTTTAACAGCAGTGTTCATTTTTCTTTCTTTCTCCTGCTTCTTTCCGATGTTAACGGTGAAGTGACCCTCCCAAGATTAAATCGAAACTTGTAACCTGAAAATCCCCAGCTTGGGCGACAGAATCTACATTCTGAAATGCATGACAGAGAAAGAGGTGGGGGGGGGAGCTTATTTTGTTCAGTTCTTCATAATAATAATAAATAATAATTTAAAAAGGGGGGGGGGGATCTTTTGTTGCATCCTTTTTTTATCCTCCACTCTTCAAGTGTTTCTCAATCTTGGCAACTTTAAGATGTGTGGATTTCCACTCCCAGAGTTCCCTAACCAGCATGCTGGTTAAAAGAATTCTGGGAGTTGGAAGTCCATAGGTCTTAAAATTACGAAGGTAACTTTAAATCCTGACATCTGAAGGAGAGCTATTTCACTCATTAGCCAAAAGGAGCCTGGATAGCTCAGCAGACTAATGCACTGTAATTTAACTCCAGCTATCTGCAATTAGTAAGTTCGAATCTCTCCAAGGCTCAAGGTTGACTCAGCCTTCCATCCTTTCTAAGGTAGGTAAATTGAGGACCCGGATTGTGGGGGCAATAAGATGACTTTGTATAAATATACAAAAGGATGAAGGCTATTGCTTAACGCATTGTAAGCCGCCCGCCCTGAGTCTCCGGAGAGGGGCGGCATATAAATCAAATTAAAAAAAAAAAAGCAGGGAGCTTTGAAGCAGCAACTTGGATCATTCTAAAGGGGGAGGCGGGGTGGAAGTGGGGGGGGAGGAGAGGATGAAAAAGAAATGGAAGAGGAGGAGAAGGAGAAGGAGAGGAGGAGGAGTTGAGGGAGGATTGTGAGGTTCTTGATGCTCTCTGAGCTTGGTAGTTTTCTTGCAATGTTTCATGACCCAACTAGGTAATATCAACATTGCTAGAAAGGAGTGCAGGGTGCAGAGAGGAGGAGGAGGAGGAGGAGGAGGAGATTGAGATTGAGATGACTTCATCTTGAGCAACTGCTTCTCTGTTCAACAAGAAGAGCGAACGCTTCCCTTCCCTTCTGCCAAACTCCACCTCCAAGGCTTTGCTTCTGAAGAGCGTCAAAAGCCAACTTACCATCCGAAGCGCTGAAATATTCAGGATTCACAGAAGCGTAAAGCACTCCGTTTCCAAGCCTGTCGCTGTTCCTGTTAAAATATAAGCAATTACTTCTTCATGTTGATATACTCACCTCTCACCAAAAAAAAAATAAAAATAAAATAAAAGGACAGAATCTTCACACTATTTTGGGCCTCTCACCTGGGCGCTCTGTTCTGGGACTTGCTGTTAAAAACGCCCACACCCCACTAACTACTTTTAGCATGCTATACGGAGGTGCGAGGAATCCGATGTGTTACTTCCTACGTCTTATGCAATGGTGAATCCCTTAAATTTGCATTTTCAGGTGATATTTATTTCCTAAAATTGATCTCTGGAGTTGCGTAAACGTAGCTTTTCACACAGGCCTCTGTGAGGAAAAACTGAGGCACCTTTTCTTCCTTTCCCTCGCAATCACAAGTTTGAATCTGGGTTGTAAGGAGGGGTGAAATCCAGCAGATTCTGACAGGTTCTGGAGAACTGGTAGCGGAAATTTTGAGCAGTTCAGAAAACTGGCAAATACCACCTCTGACTGGCCCCAGAGTGGGCTGGGAATGGAGATTTTGCAATATCCTTCCCCCAGGAGTGGGGTGGGAATGGAGATTTTGCAGTATCCTTCCCCTGGAGTGGGGTGGGAATGGAGATTTTGCAATATCCTTCCCCTGTTATGCCCACCAAGCCACTCCCACCAAACCACCCCATGCCCACTAAGCCACTCCCACCAAGCCACCCCACGCCCACCAAGCCATGCCCACAGAACTGGTAGTAAAAAAATTTGGATTTCACCACTGGTTGTAAGTACTTTTGGGGGGGCCTATCATAACTTCAAATGGTCGCTAAGCAATCAGTCATAAGTTGAAGTCTACCTCTAACTATTCCCCATCCACCTATCCCACTCCAGAAGCTTTGAAAGAAATCTTCAATTCATAGTAGAAAAAACTGACAGTTGCCGATGTTTTGACAGAAACTCTTGGGAGAAAGTGACAACTTTTCAGAAAATTGTATTCCATCTCCGTGAAGGAAGGATGAATGATGCAAGATCGGGATGGGACAACTTGCCACAGCCAATTCACCATGAGACAACTTACCCCAGGGCAACTCGCTGCGGGACAAATTCGACAATTCAATTTAATTATTTAAAATAATTTTAAAAATAATTTTAATTTTTGTCATTCCCATGTCATTCTGTCCCTCCTTCAGCATCCTTTCTTGAATGATTCTATTCCACCATTTCCTCGATATTGTTGTAACTCTCATCCCACAGCGAGTTGGCCGTGGCCAGTTGGCCGAAGCAAGATGGCCACAGTGAGTTGACTGCGCCGAGTTGCCTTAGACCCGATACAAGATACCCTGAGACCTGCCTTTGTTCATTTTAATTATGCCAAGTAAATGAAACAAAAAAGCTTGGAAAGAAGCACGAGAACTGCTTAAAATGAGGGGGGGTGGGAAGGATAGGAAGAAGCTGCTGGTACTTTTGAAATACTTAATATTGCCTATAATGTTTGTTCAGAATTATTTATTCCATTCTCTGGGATTTGCTTGGAGAGACATTGAGAGAGAGAGAGAGAGAGAGAGAGAGAGAGAGAGAGAGAGAGAGAGAGAGAGAGAGAGAGAGAGAGAGACATTGAGAGAGAGAGAGAGAGAGAGAGAGAGGAGAGAGAGATTATATAACCATAAAGTGTTTCATAAGACTCCCTTCTCTCTGCAATCTCAGGCACCGAATCGAGGTCAGGTTAAAAGGCGCTCCGGTTGGGGGTAATAAACCGTGCTTTGCAACAGGGCCCGATCCACCCACCCTTCTGCCAGTCTCACCTCTTCTTGTTGCAGACGTAAAGCATGATGAGGAGCCCACCAATGATCAGCAGGACTGCAATTGGCAGCACGATGATCAGATGCAAGAAATTTCCGTAGTCTGCTGCTGCAACGAAGAATACCCAGAGTTTAAAAAACACAACATTGTTTGTATACTTTGAGATGCTTTCACCAAACGGATTACCCTTCAGAGGCAGTCCTAACACAGGCCGTCCTCGACTTACGACCACGATTGAGCCCAACATTTCTGTTGCTAAGGGAAACATTTGTTAAGTGAGTTTTGCTCCCTTTTACCATTTTTCTTGCCCCAGCTGTGAAGTGAATGACTGCAGCTGTTAAGTTAGCAATGTGGTTGCGAAGTGAATTTGGCTTCCCCGTTGACTTGGGGAATCATACATGACCTTGGGATACAGCAACGGTCATAAGTATGAACCGGTTGCCAGATGTCTGAATTTAGATCATGCGATCATGGGAATGGCTTCACGGTAACTGTGAAAAGTGGCCGTCGGTCGCTTTTTTCAGTGCTGCTGTAACTTTGAATGGTCACTAAATGAACTGTTCTTAAGTCGAGGACTACCTGTACATACCTCTCGGGACTGTGTTGAACTATTCAATTCTATGTTTAAGATGGTGTGCTGGCTGGGGAATATGGGACTTGTAGTCCAACACGTCAAAAAAATGCCGTTTAGAGAAGGGATCATTTGCATGTTCCGGAACAAAACTCTTAACTATACCTGGGACCACTCAAAAAAATTTCTCCCTTGTTAAAAATTTTACAGTGAGGAAATTCCCATCAAAACAGCTGGTGCCTAATAAATATATGAAATAACGGGTGGGGGTTGGGATTACAGAACATGGAGTAATAGGGTTGGAAGGGACCTTGGAGGTCTTCTAGTCCAACCCCCTGCTTAGGCAGGAAACCCTACACAACTTCAGGCAAATGGCTATCTAACATCTTCTTAAAAACTTCCAGTGTTGGGGCATTCACAACTTCTGGAGGCAAGTTGTTCCACTGATTAATTGCTCTCACTGTCAGGAAATTTCTCCTTAGTTCCAGGTTGCTTCTCTCCTTGGTTAGTTTCCAACCATGGCTTTTTGTCTTGCCTTCTGGTGCTTTGGAGAATAGGTTGACTCCCCCCCCTCATCTTTGTGGTAGCCCCTCAAATTTTGGGACATTGCTATCATGTCACTCCTACTACTTCTTTTCTTTAGACTGGCCAGGCCCAATTCCTGCAACCGTTCTTCAAATGCCTATACCAGGGACGGCTAACCTTTTTGCTATCGCGTGCCAAAAGCGGAGGGAGTGCGGTGGGGAGGGGGTAGTGCACGTGCGTGCCCACATCCATAATTCAATGCGCCCACCCTCCCAAGCCTGCATATGCGACCACACCCACTTCCTCCCGCTTTTGGCACGTGATGGCACGGTGGGCCCAGTAGGCCTGTTTTTTTGCCCTCCCCAGGCTCCAGAGGCTTTTTTGGAGCCCGGGGAGGGCAAAAACGGCTTTCCCCAGCCCCCTGGAGGCCCTCCGGAGTCTGGAAACGACCCATTTCCCAACTTCCAGTGGGCCTGGAAGGCCCGGAAATTAGCTGGCCGGCATGCGCATGTACGCTGGAGCTGAGCTAGGGCAATGCTCGTGTGTCCAGAGATATGGCTCCATGTGCCATGCGTGCCATAGGTTCGCCATCACAGGAAAAATACTATTCCAGACAAATGATGGACCATCACCATCAGTGATGGAGCCCCCACAACATCCAAGCCATTTCACTTATTTAATTGTTCTCACTGATAGGAAATGTATCCTTAATTCTAGGTTTCTTCTCTCCTTGATTAGTTTCCATTCATTGCTTCTTATCTGGCTTTCAGGTGCTTTGGAGAATAGCTTGTCCCCCTCTTCTTTGTGGCAACCCCCCAAATACTGGAAGACGGCTATCATGTCTCCCCTAAACATTCTCTTTGTTAGACTAAACATACCCAGTTCATCATAATATCATTTTTCCTCCTAAATCTGTTTTTCACTTCCAGGGTAACCAAAAATACTTACGTTTAGGTTGGACGTAGAACGAGATGGGCTCCGTCCAGGATCCGTTCCCAGCTAGAGATGTGGCTTGCACTCTAACCGTGTAGTTTCCCGGGTTCAAATGAGTCAGTTTGGCTCCAGCAAGTTTCTTATATTCTTGCCTAGAAACGCATTCCCGTTTCTCCTGCAAAGTTGAGAAAGTACAGAAGAGAACACATTAAAACGCATTTTTTTAAAATTCATCTATCTTTTGCAAGGCAAAACAATTAATAAAGGACTTCAAGTTTCTCTGGAATCTTCTCCAACTACTTTTTTTCCTTTCTCCGTCCTGCATTTCAATTTCAAATTTCTTTATTACAGCCCTGAGGCTCCATGCAACCAAATAAATGAATAAAAGAAGCATTACATAAGAGGAAACACAATATAAGCACAGGCACAGGCAGTCCTCAACTTATCACCACAACTGAGCCCAACGTTTATGTTGCTAAGTGAGGAATTTGTTAAGTGAGTTTTGCCCCCTTTTACAACTTTTCTTGCCACATTTGTTAAGTGAATCACTGCCGTTCTTAAATGATTAACACGGTTGTTAAGTGAATCTGCCTTCCCTGTTGACTTTGCTTGTCAGGAGGCTGCAAAAGGGGATCACATGACCCCGGGACACTGCAACCGTCATAAATGTGAATCAACTCACATTTATCAAGCATCCAAATGTAAATCACATGGCATGGGGATAATGCAACGGTCATAAGTGTGAAAAATGGTCATCAGTGTGAAAAATGATCTTAAGTCACTTTTTTCCAGTTGTAAGTTCGAACAGTCACTAAATGAACTGCTGTTAAGTCGAGGACTGCCTATATAACAGAGTCTTCCTTTGCAATTGCACACAACTCCCAATTGTGTGCAATTGGGAGTTTTTCCTCCCAATTGCATACAATCTGAGCAAACTTGTACAATATTTTGCAAGGCAATTTGTGTATGTTCACTCGCAATATAAAAAACATGCTAAAAGGTACACCCAATCCTTCAGGAGGCTGCCTGGCTTGATTTAAACAGATGTCCGAAGAACAAAAGAGAACATTGTACAAATGCTGTTCTTAAGATTTAGTTTTGACAGTGAAAACAGAGAAACCTGCTTTTCTGCTTGCTTTGTTTTCCCAAAATGGCACAGTTCCATCAAGTGACTTCACCAAAAAAAAAAAAAAAAACCCTCAGGAAACGGCCTTACCAAATCAGAAATTGATTCGCTCCCTAACACAGGTCTCTCCTGCATGGTAGAATTACAATGCCCATCATCCCTGGCCTGGTTGCTGAGTGCCTGAAGTTTGGTCATTTGACTGTGCTGGGGGGGACCCCCACTGTTGGAACTTCGAATCTGGGTGTCTCGTATAGATTTTAATTATCAAAAACAAGTCATAACAAATGCGAATAAATGGGAAGCTGCAGTTAAACTGTACACACAAATACCTACACGAAACAATAACAGTTGTTGGGTTGAGAGATCCTTGGTGGTTTTGCATATGTCTCATTACCCAACTAGGTAACATCATCAGTGCCAGTAAGGATGAGGGATTGCTTTCAATTTATGTTCTAGTGCAGTGATGGCCAACCTTTTTGCCATCGCGTGCCAAAGGCGGAGGTTGCATGGGGGGGGGGGGTCACGCACATGCGTGCCCACACCCATAATTCACCCCCACTGCGCATGCGGTCATGACCCCCCGCCCACACTCGTCCCACTTTTGGCATGATGGCACAGTGGGTCCGGTAGGCCTGTTTTTCGCTCTCCCCAGGCTCCAGAGGCTTTCTTGGAGCCTGTTCGAATCTCACCAGGCTCAAGGTTGACTCAGCCTTCCATCCTTTCTAAGGTAGGTAAAATGAGGACCCGGATAGTGGGGGCAATAAGCTGACTTTGTATAAAATATACAAATGTATGAAGGCTATTGCTTAACGCCTTGTAAGCCGCCCTGAATCTCCGGAGAAGGGCAGCATATAAATCAAATTAAAAAAAAAAGTTTTAACTTCCAGGTGGATAGCCTTCTACTCCCAAAATTCTCACTGACAGCCATGACGGCTGTGAAATTCCGAGATTTGATTTGAAGCCCTGGAGTTTAGAAACGTTGAGAAACTTTGCCTTAATCATAATGGGGACTCAAAGCACTAAGACGCAATTAAATGAAAGAACATCTTACTTTTAAAAACCTAGCACAGCATGATAATCACCAGGAATACGGTCACAACTAGCCGATAACCAGCCTTTTCGCTAAACCTTTCCAGCATCTTTTCTTGAAACATGAGCTACCCTGTTGTGTTGTGTTGTCCACTTTTGTTGCAAGATACACCTCTGGGTTAAGATCTTATCCTGATATCTGATATTCCATTGCTTGGGGCCAATATTCTCTGTAAAGGTTTCGTGCCTGGGTGTTATGTAAGCATTCAGGAAGTTTGAACCGGAGGACTTTTTAATTCCTGATTTGGAAATATAACCAAATAACAGGCAATCCTTGACTTGCAAACACGGTTAGAAGCAGAATTTCCGTCGTTAAGCAAAGCAGATGTTTTTTTTTGTTTTTGTTTTTGTTTTTTTAAATTTGATTTATATGCCGCCCTTCTCCGGAGACTCAGGGCAGCTTACAATGCGTTAAGCGTTAAGCTGTTAGGGGAGCCGTGCACGATTTTATGATCTCTTTTGCCGTGGTCGCTAAGTGACTCACTCGGTTAAGTGAGCCACATGGTTGTTGAGCGAATCTGGCTTCCCTCGTTGACTTTGCGTGTTGGAAGCCATCTTGGAAGGTCATGAATGGCGATCACGTGACCCCAGGACCAGGGATGAAATGCTCCCGGTTCGGACCCGATTGGGCGATCCAGTAGCGATGGCAGTGGGTAGTTCGGAGAAGCAGTAGCAAAAATCCCTGTCCCCTCCCCCTGCATATGCTCACCCTATTGCCCCATCCCCACTTGCCTGCTTGCTGCTTCTTTTGGGCTCGCTCGCTTTTCCTGCCTTACTTTGGCTGCTGCAATCCATTGCATCAGCTAGCAACTCAATGTGCCTGCCTGCAATCAATCCAATCGGTGAGCAACTCAATCTGCCTGCCTTGTGCCTTCAATTTAGTAAGTAACTGGGGGTTTTTGGGGGGGAGGGAGAGCTTTAAAAAATAGTTAATTGGGGGTTTTTTAAGGAGTTTTTTTTTTTTAGACATAGCACTTTAAAATTAAGGAAGTTTTAAATTTAGCTGCTTTTATTTAAAAATATAAATTAAATTAAATAAAACAAAATAATAAAATATTTGTGCAGCTTTCTGAGATTTGGTGTGTTTCTGTAGTGTTTCACTCTAACTACACAAACACACAAAATCTCACAAAGCTGTATGTGGCATTTTGCGTGGGAAAAGTGTGAAAGTTGGTTTTTGAGCTTTTTGTGGCTGTGTGAGGTTCCTGCTTGTTGCAGGGGCCAATTTAGGTCAAGTGCAGCTGCTTTTACATTGTGTGTGAGTCAGTTGTGCTGTGCTGTGTATAAAGTGTAAAAGTTGGTTTTTGGTACCTCTTATTGTTTTGTGTACTTTGTTTTTTATTTTTATTATTATTGGCCATGCCCAACAGGTCACCTGACCACCAAGCCACACCCACCAATTAAGCCATGCCCACAGAACCAGTAGGGAAAGTTTTTAGATTTCACCCCTGCCCAGGACACTACAACTGTCACAAGTACATGCCAGTTGCCAAGCTTATAAATTTTGATCACATGACCAAGCGGATGTTGCAACGGTTTCAAGTGTGAATACAGGTTCTAAAATCCCTTTTTTCAGTGATGTTGTAACTTTGAACAGTCGCTGAATGAACGATTGCAAATCGAGGACTACCAACAAAGTCATCAGTCTCCTTACCTCTCCATTTTGTCCATATTTGATTTCGTACATCAAAACCAATCCATTGGGGTTAACCGGCTCGGGCCACTTCAGGGATATGGTGTTTTCCTCCTTCCCTTCCCACGTTACACTTCCTGGAATGTTATCAGCCCCTTCTGTGGAAAGCAAGCACAAGAGACGATTCATTTATTTGTATCCCCCCCCCCCACTTCCTCATCCCTATTTTTCCCACAACAACAACAACTCAAGGTCACCCAGCTGTCTTTCATGACTAAGGCGGGACGAGAACTCACAATCTCCTGGCCAAAGTCACCCAGCCAGCTTTCCTGCCTAAGTGTCATGCCCCCCGTCGGAGTCTGAATCTGCGGGGGGAAGATGAGCTGAAACAAGAGCCGACAGAGACAGAGAGAGCGGCTCCGTTGGCCTTGGAGGAAACTGGGGGAGGAGCACGAGAGCTCAGGCAAAGAGCAAGGACCACCCCCTCCTGATCCTAGAGCACGGAGAGAAGAGAGAAGGCGAGACCAACGCAGACTGAGCTGGCTACAAGGGAGGAGAGTGCCCCGCCCCCCTTCACAAGGCACACCTTGTAAGGAGGTGCCGGTGGGAGGGGCTTTTGTCGGGAACAAGCATTGAATCTATGGAGCCTTGTGTGCACTTGCCAACGCCTGGAGATTACTGTACTCTGTCTTGTGGCTTGCCCAGTTTGCTTGGCCCTGGTTACTGTTTGGCTAACCTGGTTTACTGGACTACTCACAGCCATAGGCTATTGAAAGTGCATGTGAGAGCTTTGCTCCAGGACTTGTAGTAAACATGGGAATGTTTGGGGGCAAAGATGGAGCAATAAAAGGGAGTTAGACCTGTTCTCTGGCTCTGGGTCATCACACTAAGGCAGTGCTAGAACTCACCGTCTCCTGGTGATAGGCCCAAAGTCACCCAGCTGATTTTCATGGCTAAAACAGGATTTGAACTCACTGTTTTCTGCTTTCTAGCCCAGTGCCTTAACCACTAGACCAAAGTGGCCCTTTGACTGAACTCTAAATCAGAGCTGAGTTCTAAGATATTATAACTTTGAACCAATTTGACCTGGAAGTTCTATATTTAGCCAAAAAAAGGAAGTTTTTAAAAAACAGGAACTTTTAGGCAGCTTACAGCAATAAAAAGGAAGAAATGAAAAGCGCGTAAACTGAAGTAAAATAAGGCAAAGGACCACAATGAGAATGCATCAATAGGATAACCATTATCATTACCTTATACCATTACATCAAGGAGTTTCAGGGAACTCTCAGTAGCTCCTAAGCGCTTAGCTCTTCAGCTGTTTACTACTTTATTCTCCTAATCCTGCCTATAAAATCTGCAAATTGTATTTTGGTTGCATGCTACAATCCTTTCAAAACTTACTGACAAAAGTGAAATGTTTAAAGTGACTGAAGAGGAAAACGATTTAAGTCCTGCGAGAGGATCTTACCAATACTATTAAATTTTATGAAATACCGTGTTGAATTTATCCCGGCCCCACCGAACACAGGATGTCAATCAACAGAAGGCCTGACTCAAATGACATTGCAGCCCTCTTCCTTCATCAACTCTCACTTCTAAGATCAAACTACGAGGGAGTTTACGCGCCAGATTGGACTGCGATGCTTTCTTAAGCTACACGTACAACTAAATAAAAGTGCTCTCTACATGGGGCTCCCCTTGGGGTGCACCTGGAGGCTCCAGCTGGTCCAGAACGCAGCCGCGCGGGGGATTATGGGAGCGATGGGGCGCTCCCATGTGACACCTCTCCTGCGCGAGCTGCACTGGCTCCTGGTGGTCTTCCGGGTGCGCTTCAAGGTGTTGGTGACCACCTTTTAAGCGCTCCATGGCTTAGGGCCGGGGTATTTAAGAGACCGCCTTCTGCCACCGGTAGCCTCCCACCGGCCAGTACGCTCGCACAGAGAGGGCCTCCTCAGGGTGCTGTCCGCCAGACAATGTCGGCTGGCGACCCCCAGGGGGGAGAGCCTTCTCTGTGGCGGCGCCCGCCCTCTGGAACAACCTCCCCCTAGAGATATGTACAATACCAGACCTCCGGACTTTTCGTCGGGCCCTGAAAACTTATTTATTTCACCTAGCCGGGCTGGCTTGATCCCACTGTTTTTGGTTAAATTTAATTGATTTTAATTGGGTTGTTTTAAATTGCGGCCAAAATATTTAATTATTTTTAAACTGTTTTTTAAATTTAAATTTAAATTTTAAATTTTGTATGTTCTGTTTTATTCTGGCTGCTCACCACCCTGAGTCCTGCTGGAGAAGGGCGGTATACAAATAAAATAAAACAAATAAATAAATAAAAGGTGAGAGATTGTACCTGCAGGCATCGTCCGGGCGAAGACAAAATTTGAAGCGCTGCAGCCCAGGCGTGCCGCTTCGTGGTTGCAACTGTGGATGTCAATCCGATAAAGGGTGAAAGGCAGGAGCTGGGAGATGAGGGTCCGTTCCTTGCCCTCCACCTTCGCTTCGTAGAAGGGAAACTCCACCTCACCCTCCTCCACGTCGGTCCCGTTGCTCAGGTGTTCTGGAGGGATCCCAGTCTTGTTCTTAGCGGCAAACGTTGTGTTTGCGACGCGGAACAAATCCCTCCTCTTCCGATCAGGTCTGGACAAAAAAACAAGAACCACCACCAGGCTTTAATCTCTCGGACACTCAAATCTGCACATCCAAGGCCACAATATTTTCAGAGAAAATAGCACCCAAAGTTATTAAAGGGTTTAAAAAGCAAAAAGTATACCGCTTCCCTGCATGCAGCCTGAGTCAAAATAACCCTAAATCAGAGATAGGTCACACTTTAAAATTATCACACGGCCCATCTTATAGTCCGTATTTTTCGGACTATAAGACGCACCTAAATTTAGAAGAGGAAAACAACAAAAAAAAGTTTTTGGCCACATTTTTTCGGGCCTTTTTCAGTCTTTTTTCAGCCAGTTTTCGGGCCTTTTTTCGGCCTGTTTTGGGGGCTTTTTTCAGCCTGTTTTCAAGGCTTTTTTCAATCCATTTTTGAGGCTTTTTGCAGCCCATTTTTGAACTTTTTTCAGTCTGTTTTCAGGGCTTATTTGGCCTGTTTTTGAGGCTTTCGGGGGCCATTTTCGAGGCTTTTCCAACCCATTTTCGAGGCTTTTTTGGGCAGTTTTTGAGGCTTTTGCAGGCCATTTTCGAGGATTTTTTCTGACCATTTTCGAGGATTTTTCCGGACTGTTTTTTTCTGAAAAAAATGGGCCAAAAAAATCCTCAAAAAACAGGCTGAAAAAAGCCCCCCAAATGGGCCAAAAGAAGCCCTGAAAACAGGCTGAAAAAGCCCTAAAACGGGCAAAAAAAGAGCCTTGAAAACAGGCTAAAAAAAGCCTCAAAAATGGGCCAAAAAAAGCCTGAAAAGTGCTCTACACAGGGCGTGCAGAGGCCAAAAAATGGCTGGCAGGTGGGTGGGCGGGGCTTCGGCAATATTTGGTCTATAAGACACACAGACATTTTTGCCTGCTTTTGGGAGACAAAAAAAGTGCATCATAGTCCAAAAAAATACTGTATTTTAAGGTGCATTCAGCCAAAGTTATGAGTTTTGGTACTGTTTGTGTGCAATCTTTGCCTCAAAATGATTTGGGGGTGATGTTCCAGGACCCACCAAAAAATAGGGTTCAAGAGCTAAACCAGCTCTGTGGATTCAGGTTGACTCCCGAGTCAAGTGGAAAGGTGATGGAGTTTAGCAAAACCCAAAAGAGAGGCAATTTACTAGAAAGAAAAGCCAAAATGAGACAGGAGAATGATGCAGACGTAACTATGGAAAATGACAAGATTATGTGGCAGGAAAAATTCATCAGCAACAGCTCCCTGTGGAAGAGACAGATCTGCTCTTTTCTAAGCAAATGGCAGTCCAGTGAATTATTAAAACTGTTAGGATATGGTTTGAGCCTAACAAGTTGTCCAGGCAATATATGTGTTCTGTGACTTTAATATGAATATGTATTGTGTGACTTTCAAGTTTTACTGCTGATTCATTGTAATGCTGAGTCATGCAGTAATTAGATAATCACTGGTTGTGAACATATTTAAGGAAGGTACTGTAACGTATTCAGTTGATGATAAGCTACCATTGTGTGTGGAGTTGCAACCATTGTGCTATCATCGGTTGGATGGATCTGCTATCATCGTGGTTTGTGAACCAGAGTGAGTTTGTTATTCTAACCAACTACTGTTTGTGTGGTAAGAAGATTTTTGTATCACTGGACTGATTTAACTGGCAAAGACTTGAATTGATTTAAAGACTATGAGATTGTTTTTTCACTATAAAGTAAACTTTTGATAAACCAGTTTGCACATCTCTTATTCATTGCTCTCAGCAACGTTTCTCTGTGCTCTACACTCTGCTGGTTGGTAACACAACAACAATATCCTTAACAAAAACACTTAAGTAAGTGAAAGCTCACATCACAAAGTTTCTGTTCCTTTCACAACAGCGTAATGAGAAGCATGGTTAAGTTTATTTAATAGTTGGTGGGGTTTATTTCATTTCACCTTAAACAGCCACTGTCCCCTCTAAGCCACGTTTTAGAGCTTAATGCACCCTGTGACCCCAGCCAATTTGGATCTGTTTCGACCATAACGACACAAACCAGGAATGAGAGCAATGAATAAACTGAGTCACAGATTTCCAAAGAAGACTGAAACCACAATGTGGCACTCGGGATGAGAGACAAATTGGTATCCTTGGAGGGGTGTGTGGAAGTGAAATATGTAGTTTGGGTCACGGACAGAGATAAGGCCCCTAGCGAAATCTCATTTAATGTTGTAATGTCACTCTTCCCTGACATTTGGGATTCTTAGTAATGGTTTTACTGGCTTAGTGAATTTACAACTCCACCCATATTTATATCATTTATTTGATTTTTTTTTTTAAAAAAAAATCCTGCCTTTATTATTTTATAGGTAACTCAAGGTAGCAGACATTCATAATGCTCCTTCCTCCTCCTATTTTCCCGAAAACAGCAACCTTGTGAGGTGGGTTGAGCTAAGAGAAAGAGAGAGAGAGAGAGAGAGGGGGACTGAGGCAAAGTCACCCAGTCAGTTTTCATGCCTAAAATGAAATTAGAACTCAAGAGTTTCCTGGTGATTGGCCCAAAATCACTCAGCTGGCTTTTATGCCTAAACTAGGACTAGAACTCACAGACTCCTGGTGATTGGCCCAAAATCACCCAGCTGAGTTTTGTGCCTGACGTGGGACTAGAACTCATAGTCTCCTGGTGATTGACTCAAAGTCATCTAACTGGCTTTCGAGACTAATGTGGGACTAGAACTCACAGTCCCCTGTGATTGTCCAGTCACCCAGCTGGCTTTTGTCCTTAAACTGGAACTAGAGCTCACAGTCTCCTGGTGATTGACCCAAACTCACCTAACCAGCTTTCATGCCTAAGACAGGACAAGATTCTCAGAGTCTCCTCATGATTGGCCGAAAATCACCCACAGTTGGCTTTTATGACTAAGGTGGGACTAGAATTCACCATCTCCTGGTTTCTAGGCCAGCACCTTAACCCTTAAACCAAATTGGCTCTCAAATAGTTCTTAGAGCGCCTAAACAAAAAGCAATTATGAATGCAAGCTGAACCAAGATGGGGGAAATGAAGCCCAGGCAGTCAAGGGCCGCCTCAGAAAACCTGCCAATTATATATTTCCCTAAAATCCAGTGGTGGGTTGCCCCTGGTTCGGACCAGTTGTATAGAACCGGTAGTAAAACTGGCGGGAGGCTCCGCCCACCGACCCCGACATCATCAGAATATCATCAGCGTAGAAATTCTGTGCAGAAGAGCACGCGCGCGACCCCGTTGCAAACCAGTAGTAAAGGTAAATAGAACCCACCCCTGCTACAAGCTGCAATCTATCAAAAGCTAAGAAGGCTAATCATATGCCAGCTCTTTCCTCTGGATTGGAGAAGCTTCTGAGGCTAGTAACCCTTTGTTCCACCCAGCACCCACACACACCCAGGCACGAAGGGGTCAATTAAAGAGAGTCACACGGCTAACACATATTGCTCCCAAATTAAGCCTTTTTCTGAAATAAGGCATCTATTTGGGAGCAGGCTCTGTTATCCCGTTGCAAAACGCTGAACGGTAATTGATGGACCTGCCCTGGAATCCTTTGCCGTTCTTAAGTTTCCCCCGGAGCAAGACAGGAAAGAAAAATCAGGGGAATGGTCGAGGGAAATGGCAAAGGGGAGCAGAAAGGAGGAGGAGATGGTCTCTCGGAAGGAAGAATCAGGATTTCAGCGATGACCCCAAGCGTATCGGTCAGCGGTGTTAATCCAGCTCAGCGTAGAAAGAGGTTTATGCGATGCTCTCTCGCTCAGGAGCCTATACTCAAATATTAACAGTTTTATTGGGAAAGTTGCTTTTCCAAATCTCCCTAAAGCCAGCCAATTCTCTCCTGGGTCATTCTGGCACCTGTCAAAGCATAGAGACAAATACGGGGGGGGACGGGGACAAAAGGTTGTTCAACAGAGAGACTCTTAGGGATGAAGAGATCTTTGAAGGGGACTCAGCTCAGCAACAGTCCAAATGGCCCCAGAATGTGTTGGGTGGAGGAGAAGGCCTCCTCTGACATAGGAAATGGGGGTACAGAATTGCCACTTGAATATGGATGCCTACCTATCACACCAGAAGCCATATCCTCTCCTCCCTCCCAAGCAGGGACCGGACCAAAACAAAATCCATATGAACTGGATTGGCAGCTATTAAGTTAAAATGAATTCCCTGTAAGATACCCTGCTTGTAAAGTTAAGGGAGCTCCAGATGTACTAACAATTCATTCTCTCTCTCTCTCTCTCTGTCACCCGCCCGCCCATCCAACAGACACACACACAAATACATACTAAACAGATATTTGGTGAAAGAAGAAGAAAAGAGGATGGGGGTGAATTAAGGAATAGATAGAGTGGGTAAGGAATCAGAAAGGAACAAAACTGGATGAAATGAGACAAAAGGAGGGAGAGGAGGAAGGGAAGGAAGGAAGGTAGAAGGGATGGAGGAAGAGAAGGAGGGAGGAGAGAAAGAGAAAGGAAGGAAAGAGAGGGAGGGAGAGAGGGTGGGAGGAGAGAGAGGAAGGAAGGGAATGGGGGATGAAGGAAGGTAGAAGGAATGGAGGAAGAAAAGGATGGAAGAAAGAGAAAGGGAAGGAAGGAAGGAAGGAAAGAAGGAAAGAAAGAAAAGGAGGAGGGAGAGGAGGGAGGAAGGAAGGAAAAAGGGGTAGGGAGGGAGTGAGGAAGCTGTGCTCACATGTCACAGAAAGGGTTAAATTCAGCAGGCCATCAGCCCCTCTCAAGCAACACCTGATGCCCAAACTCCTCTTCAAAGGCTCCTCACCCCACTCATAGCTGCAATGTCTTTGCCAAATCCTTCTAGCCTCTTATTCTCCTCGTGGAATGTAAGAATTACGACCAGTAAAACAAAAGGACTTTATTCCAAGAAATAAATGCCATCACCCTGGATCCCATTCGCTTGTGAAAGGCATGCTGGCAAGGATTTCTCCCCCACCCACCCCCGCTCACCTGGGCAAAAAGATGGCGTTATGGAGGAAATTCTCAAAGACCTTCCGGTACTCGGCTTCCTCCTTCTCAGCCTGCTTCTCTGCTTCAGTCTTTGGGCATTTGCAGCATGGTCCTTTCTCCCCGCCAGAGCCCTCTGCCTTGGTGGGTTCCGTGGCTTCTTCGGTATCTATGGTCCCATCAGCGTATCTCCGAATCGGGACTTTATCTTGGAAAGCAAAAGAGAGGAGGAAGAGGAGGAGGAGGAGAAAAGGTAAAATCAAAAGAGGTTAGTGGACTAACCCAGCAGCTGTGACGTTCCTGCTGAAGAGGTTTTGCCTCCAGCTTTCCCTTTCCATCCATGGCCATGGCCACGTTAGGGACGAGCTTTGCATGAAGAGGCAGGAAAGATACTCGCGGAGTTTAGGAAGGCCAAAGCATCTTTCTGCAGGGCCAACTCCAAACGAGACCACTGAAATCAGCTTCATCCACAGTGCCCTTCTTCCACCTAGGTCTCTCCAGATGTCTTCAAAACCCCAGGATTCCCAACCACTCAAACAACGATAAACTGGCAGGCAGTGGCTTGCACGGATCTCTTTCCAGACCAATTTTCTGGAAAATTTCTAGAGAAAATTGGTGGTTGGCCTCAGGTCTTGCTGCAGAAGCTGATCATCTATTCCCGGTGTTTCTCAAAGTTGGCCGCTTTAAAACGGGTGGACTTCAACTCCCAGAATTCCCCAGCCAGTTAAGTCTGACTAGGAAATTTGGGGAGTTGAAATCCACCCATCTTAAAGTCACCAAAGTTAGGAAACACTATTCTCTATTCTCCTGTTGAACTGAATTACTAGATTAATTTAATTGGATTTTAATACTGTTTTAAATTTTGTATTTTTTGTATTTTATCTGTTGGCTGTTCACCGCCCCGAGTCCTTCGGGAGAAGGGCGGTATACAAATATAATAAATTAAACTAAACTAAACTAATCAACGTGGTTGCAATCTGTAATCATCTCCCAAGCTCCTTATAACCAAGGAAGTAACAATCTAGTTACTAGGGAAGGTGGTGTGTGTGTGTGACATACCTACACTTGTCTTCCTTTTGCGTGACTCTTCTAACTGGTTTCCAATCTTGACTAGGGACTGCATGCATAAATTAAGCTTGGATCAGGGGTGAAATGTAAAATTTGTTACTACTGGTTCTGTGGGCGTGGCTTGGTGGTGGGGGTAATGTGACTGGGTGGGCGTGGCCAACTTTTTTTTTTTTTTAACTTTTCAAAGCATTTTTTCTAATGCTTTGAAAAGCCTCTGCAGATCAGGCAACTCAGCTGGGATCGTCATAGACTTTTCAAAGCATTTTTTTTATCACCCCTTCGGCCAAGAGGTTGTAGAAAAAAAATGCTTTGAAAAGCCTCTGATGATCCCAGCTGAGCCGTGCGATCATCAGAGGCTTTTTTTTTTCCTTTTAAAAGTATTTTTTCGGCCAAAGAGGTTGTAGAAAAAATGCTTTTAAAAGAAAAAAAAAAAAAAAAAAAGCCTCTGATGATCGTGCGGCTCAGCTGGGCATGGGGAGGGCGCAGGGATTTTTTCTACTGGTTCTCTGAACCACCACGTGCCATCTCTACCGGATCGGGCGATCCGGTCCGAACCGGGAGCATTTCACCCCTGGCTTGGATCCATTGTTGTTGAACTTTGAAGTGGTAGAGACCCCATATCACCTTTCCCTCACTTAGTGCCCTGCAGATGAGTTGACATCCAAGATATCCTGAGGGTTCCAGACTAGAAGAGGTGATCTACCATGAATTTAGGAAACTGGTTAAAGGTGAGGAAAAAGCTACCGCAAAGCCCGCAGGTATCCCTCCGTGTCGGTCTTACCTTTGGAGCAGTAGTTGTGTCTGTACAGGTAACTATCCTGAGGCTGTTGCTGCCACCTTACAATATAGTAGGACAGGTTGCCATTGGGGTAAGTGGGAGGGTTCCATTTCACAATCAGCTGTGAGGAGGAGTTGGAGGCCGAGATGACATCCAGAGGGACGGACGGCACTAGAAGAAAAGCAAATCAACCATGGACCTTTTAATGTGTTTCTGCAAAGAACTTATCATGAACTGAAGTCCATCAAAAAAATAATAATAATAACATTCTACTTTCAGTGCATAGCACTCTCTTCCATTCTATTCTGGTGACATCCTTGAATAGATCCCAGAAACAAAGAGCATTTTATGGTCCCCAGGCCATATCTGGCCATTTGGCTGTCCCTCTCCGGACAGTGTAAGGTCAACTGGAAATTAGAAATCAAACGTAAATAAATGCACTGCAGGGGCAGGAGAAATAGTCCTCAACTTACAACTACAATTAGGACGGGGATTCCTGTGGCTAAGCAGGGAGGAAGTTCGGTGAGTTGTGCCTGATTTTTACAATCTTTTTTTTTTTTTTTTGACACAGTTATTAAGCCAATTGCTGTAATTGTTAAGGGAATCTGGATAAGTATCCAAATTTTGATCTCACGATCCCAGGGATGTTGGAAAGATCACGTAACTTTGAAAAACGGCCATCAGTCACATTTTTCAGTACCGTTATAACTGTGAATGATCGCTAAACTAACTGTTGTAAGTTGAGGGCTACCTGAACAGGGATTTTCCCAGCCAATCAAATGCTCAAGATTTTGTGCAGAGACTGAATATTTCAAAGCCACAGCCCGTGGCATCAGGGCTACACCAATTACCGTATTTTTTGGAGTGTAAGATGCACCTTTTCCCCCCAAAAAGGGGTTGCGTCTTATACACTGAATGTAGCCCCGCCCACCCATTGCCTCCACCCTTTGGCCTCTGCCTCGCAGCAGTTACCTCCTTGCAAGCAAACAGCAAGAAAAAAACAGCTCCTTTCAGCTTCAGCACAGCCTAATTAGCACAAGTTGATTGGATCTGCCTCCCGACTCTCAGCTGATTTGCTCTCAGCTGTTTTGCGCAGGGCTCTGCTGCTTGGTGCAAAGAGGTAAATTGCTGGAGCAGATTATTTTTTTCCTTGTGCTAATCAAGCTATGCTGAAAACGAAAAATGAAAGTAAAGCAGGCTGTTTGCTGTAATGAGGCAAAATTGCTCAGAGGCAGAGGGAGATTTCTTTTTCTTCTTTTCCTCACCAAAAAAAGTAGGTGCGTCTTATACTCCGGTGCGTTTTATATTCCGAAAAATACGGTAGCTTACTAAATCACCTAGTATCCAAAGGGATAAACTAGCAGGCTCAAAACCTAAATTTTGGAGAACGCTCAAATCATTGTCAGCTAAATTGACTCAAATCATTGTCAGCTAAGTTGAACAGGAATGAGAGATACCCGAGAAAAATAAACCTTTGGCTTTTGCTACCGATCAGAAAATAGAAACTCGGTTCACAACCGAACCACGTTCTGCTTTTTGATTTTGCAAAATTTGTCCTTTATATCTATATAGCCAACGCTACACCTAACCATATCGCAGCAGGCCTCAACATTTTAGCATTAATACGCGCAGTTGTTTTTCCAAAAACACTCAATAGAAGCCCCCCCCCCCCTTTTTTTTACATATCCCTGTTTGAATCCCATTCCAACAGGCCTCCTTGGCTCAGTTCGAACGGATAAACATCTATAATTCTGTCACCAAGGCAGATATTATATTCTAAGCCACCTCGGAGTTTGCCAGTTAGGTGGCATACGAATGACCTTAAGCAAATAAATAAATATTATTCCCACCCTCAGAAAGAACTTCATTCAAGATGATTAAATGCTGTGGGATATTTCCCTGGGTTGATTAATCGGACAATTATCACCTCTCCGCAGTGCCCAACTTTGGAGGCAATTAAATCCTGGCAGGCAGAAGTAGGCTACCAACAGCCATCAACTTTGGAAGGGGGTTTTTTCGATAGGCTAACCAGAAACACAGATCCCAAATAAGCAAACTGAAAAGGACGAACGCCAAGAACAACTGTTCATCCATTAAAACCCTTTGCCACTGAAAATCAATTCCATATGATGGCGAGTGCGCCCTCTCATTTCCCCCCTTCTGCACCAAACACTCTCCAAATTCAGCGTGGATGACTTCAAGAGGTCCAGGTCATAAAATCATTGGGCTAGAAGGGACGTTGGAGGATTTCTAGTTCAATCTCCTGCTCCAAGGCAGGAGAACCTGATTGCATCCCAGACAAATGGCGGTCCACTCTTATCTTTGAAAGCTTCCAGGGAGGGGGTATTCACAACTCCATGAGGCAAGCTGTTCCACTGATTAATTGTTCTCGCCGTCAGGGAAGTTTCTCCTTAGTTCCAGGTTGGATCTCTCTTTGACAAGCTTCCACCAATTGCTTCTTGACCTGCCTTCAGATGTTTTGGAGAATAGGTCAACCCCCTTTTCCCTGTGAGAGACACTCAAAATACTGGAAGACAATTATCGTGTCCCCGTTAATCCTTATTTTCAATAGCAATAGCACTTAAGACTTATATACCGCTTTACAGTGCTTTACAGCCCTCTCAAAGCGGTTTAGAGTCAGCCTCTTGCCCCCAACTATCTGGGTCCTCATTTTACCCGCTTCGGAAGGAGGGAAGGCTGAGTCAACCTTGAGCCTGGTGAGATTCGAACTGCTACATTGCAGGCAGCTGGCGGTCAGCAGAAGTAGCCTGCAGTACTGCACTCTAACCACTGCGCCACCGTGGCTCTTATAGGCTAGGCCAATGATGGCAAACCTATGGCACGAGTGCCACAGGTGGCATGTGGAGCCATATTGGTGGGCAAGCGAGTGTTGCCCTAGCTTAGCTCCAGCGCGCATGCGCACACTGGCCAACTGATTTTCAGGCCTTCTGGTCTGAAAGTTCCAGTCTCCAACTCCGGAAGTTGGGAAACTGGCTGTTTACGGCCTCTGAAAGGCACCCGGGGGGATGGGGAAGGCTGTTTTTGCTCTCCCCAGGCTCCTAGAAAGCCTCTGGAGCTTGGGGAGGGGAAAAAACTGGCCTACTGGGCCCACCAGGACATCATGTGCCAAAAGCAGGGGGAAGTGTGTGTGTGCGGGGGTCACGTGCACATGCGCGGGAGGGCGGGGCGCATTGAATTATGGATGTGGGCACCCGCACCCGTGACCCCCCATGCTCCCTCCGCTTTTGGCACGCAATGGCAAAAAGGTTAGCCATCACTGGGCTAGGCATACCTTCTTCCCGTAACCGTTCACTATATAGTTTTGCCTCCAGATGCCTTGTCATCTCAGTTGCTCTTCTCTGCACGCTTTCTAGGGTCTTGGCATCTTTTTTGAATCGTGGTGACCAGAACTGAACGCAGCAATATTCCAGGTGAGGCCTGATTTATGCAATACTATCCTCCTATCAGTTTGCAAATGCAGGCAGTCCTTGACTTACGACCACCATTGAGCCCAAAATTTCCATTGCTTAGTGAGGCATTTGTTACCTGAATTTTGCCCCAATTCACGAACTTTCTTGCGATCGTCGTTAAGTGAATAGCTGCAGTTGTTATGTTAGTAACACGACTGTAAAATGAATCTGGCTTCCACGTGGACTTGGCTTGTCGGGATGTGGCAAAAGGGGATCACAAGATCTTGTGACACCACAATCGTCATAAATATGAGTTGGTTTCCAAGTGTCTGAATTTTGATCATGTGACCACGGGGATGCCGCAACGGTCATTAAGCGTGAAAAACGGTCCTAAGTCACTTTTTCCAGTGCCGTTATAAGTTCAAATTGTCACTAAATGAACTGTTGTGATTCGAGGACTCCCTGTACTGGATAATGCCAGTTCCAAGCCCATTGTTGAATGAACAGTTGTAAGTGGAGTCGGTCTATACAGCCTCTGATGGAGCCTGCAAACTTCCACTGAGTCCTCATCAATCTAGAGGATTCACAAGAGAAGGACCCTCTCCCCAAAATGTGCAAAGTCTTTGGGGTGTCCTGTCTGGCCCTTCAATGCCCCCCGATTCTGGAGTCACTCCAGTTTTGATAGCATTCATCATTCAGATTGATAAACCATGATGCTAATGCAAATGATTCTAAAACTCAACGGTTAATTTCCCCCCCCCCTTTTTTTAATACATCTACCACTACATTTTTCTTCCAAACTATGAATTTTGGAATTACACAAAGCTTGGATGAAGGATACATTGGAAAACGAGCTGCGTTTTCTGGCCATCTGCTGGAAAAATCTGTGCGAAATTTCCCATCCCAATAAAAGATGGCAAGCTACAAACTGAAGCTACGGCACAGATTTATTAAGAACGTCCCACAAGGACTTCCTAGGAACAAAGCAGATTTATATCCTAGTATCTTTGCTTGTAGCCAAAAACTAATTATGCCAAAATACTTAAAGATTTATGGCTAGTTTAAAATTTCATACAAGACATCATGAATCACTTTTCCAAATGCTGGAGTCCTCCTTGCCCAATCAAGGCCACCAGACAGAAACACAACTCATTTTTTAAAAAAAATTTATCTTCACCAAGTCTAATGACTTCTTACCTGCAGCCTTCGTGCGGATGTAGACAATCTCGCTCTTCGCTCCATGAGGGTGGTAGTTCTCCATCATAGTGAGCATGACGGCTTTGACGTAAATTGCATACTGGGTCCACGGTTTCAGCGGCTGCAGTAAAATCCCTGGATTGTCGTCCTTATTTGAAGGCAAGTCCACATCAACCATGTTCCAGCTGTTAGAACCACAGGCGTCCTGCCCGTCATATTCTGTCACGTTCTTGAAGGCTCTGGAATGGACAAGCAAGGGAGCTAAGACATGTCCGTCTGATAAAACAGATTAGAATAGAATGGAATGGAATGGAATGGAATGGAATGGAATGGAATGGAATGGAATGGAATGGAATGAATGAATAGAATAGAATAGAATAGAATAGAATAGAATAGAATAGAATAGAAATAGAAATAGAAATAGAAATAGAATAGAATAACTTCATTGTAACTTTGAATGTACACTACTTGGCATACATTAAAAATGAAATTTCGCTGCATAGAGCTTTTACAGGGTCACCACCTCCAATTTTACACTACACAAACGTGACAAGATACATAAATAAATACAAAATTATGCATATACCCACATATATTATATGACACAGAGAAACAACACAGTTTAGTTCAGATGCATACATGTTTATGGCGAGAAAAACCGAATCTTGCGAGTTTACCAGGTGGATGGCCTAGGGAACAAAGCTGTTACAGAATCTGGTAGTTCTGCTAGAAATACTTTGAAATACCCTCTCCCGGAGGGGAACTCATTACTATTATGATCAGAATTGCTGAAAAGTGAAGGGCATTTCCCATCATTCCATGGTGAGAAATAGCAATATCAGTTAGGCTTATATACAGCCCCACGGTGTTTTACAGCATTCTCTATAGTCAGTTTACAATGTCAACATATTGCTTCCAACAATCTGGGTCATTTTATCGACCTTAGAAGAATGGAAGGCTGAGTCAACCTTGATCCCTGTCAGGTCAGGATCAAACTCCAGACCTTTGGGCAGAAATGGCTAGAAAAAATAATAAGATCAACCAATTGAAAGAAACATTCTTGTTAAGAATATTCACAAGAACATACACCGAAGAAATAAAATATCTGATTCTACATATCATAACTGCCGCACTAATAACATACGCACAAAATTGGAAACAGGAAAAGACACCAACAGACGAAGAAGTGATAGAAAAAGTTTTAGAATGTGCCGAGATGGACAAATTAACAAAAGAAATTAAAGAAAAAGAAGAAACAGATTATTATATAATTTGGAATAAATGGTATGAATGGCTTGAGTCTAAAAATAAAGAATAATAAATACAGGGAAGAATTTAAAAGTATAAATTATGTATATAATAAATGTATAGAAATGTAAAAAAAAATTAAGGTTATTAGTGTTAGAAAATACAACGTAACCAAAGAAAAAGGGACAATGTAGAAAAGGAAATAGTAATAGAGATAAGGGAGGATAGACGCAAAACGGAACTAAAAAGAGGAGATATTTATATGTTGTATGTTACGTGATTGTTATAATGTGTCATAATAAAATATTATTAAAAATTTTTTTTAAAAAAAGAAGGATGGAAGGCTGAGTCAACCTTGATCCCTGTCAGGTCAGGATCGAACTCCAGACCTGCGGGCAGAGTAACCCTAAGCCTAACCCCTGATATAGTACACCTGGAAGCTGCAAAGGCTGGTTAATACTGCTAAAAACACATACACGTCTTCACTTTGTCTGGAGTAATCATCTAGTTCTGGATACTCACGCTTCTTTGTAATAGACGGTGAAGCTAATCAAATCTCTGTAATCTTTAGGCCGATACTGTTCCCATGTCAGTTTGATCCGATTTTTCATCGTAGTGTTAGAAACGAATTTCAGGATGTGACTTTCACCTGAAACACAAAAGCAGCACACATGGCTGAATTGCCACTAACACACACACAGCTGATCCAGATTTGATACGGGAGGCAGCTATTTCAAGACCAAGGTGTCAGGCCTGGAAGAGAAGGTCCATTTAAACTGATTTATTGCTACTTGTGCCTATGCACAGGAATCTTCTCAACTAGGGGTTAGCACTAGTGGTGAAATCCAAATTTTTTTACTACTGGTTCTGTGGGCGTGGCTTGGTGGGCATGGCAGGAGAAGGATACTGCAAAATCTCCATTCCCACCCCACTCCAGCGGAAGGATACTGCAAAATCCTCATTCCCTCCCCACTTCTGGGGGAAGGATATTGCAAAATTTCCATTCCCACCCCACTCTGGGGCCAGCCAGAGGTGGTATTTGCCGGTTCTCCAAACTACTCAAAATTTCCGCTACCGGTTCTCCAGAACCTGTCAGAACCTGCTGGATTTCACCCCTAGTTAGCACCTGCTTGGAGTTAGTTTGAATTCAAGGGGTGGGGTGGGGTTGGGGATTTAGTTCATTTGTGGCTACGAAGGGATTCTAAGCCGATTCCTCTTTTAATTCCACCCCCAGGTTCTGCCATTCCTTCCCCTACACAGGGTTGTTTCTTTTTTTTTTAAAAAAAAAAACATAATATATGTCATGCAAAATGTACCATCAAGGAAGCACTTTTAATTTCATTTTTTTCCCCAAAAGCAAAGAGTAAACAACAGGAAGCGTTTCACAATGTTTTGAGCAAGAAAAATTGTCACACCATCCAGCAAATGGCAGAGTCTGACGTTTTACGTAACAACATTTGAACCTTGAAAGGACGGTATTTTGTTCTTCCGAGTTTTTTTTCTTACATCCACAGGGGGAAAAAAAACCAGGTGACTTAATCTTACCTAGGCACAATAGATTTCTGCAACCCTTCCCCCCCCCTCCTGTCGAGTGTCAGTGTGTAGTGTTTGTTCGGCGGCGCACAGGTGGTTGCAGAGGAGGCTGACACCTCCTCAATTTTAGCCAAAGCCCGTTAGCCGATCTAACTTCACACAGGCTGGCTTTAATGGGGCTGAATCTGTTTTCAAAAGCCAAGTCGGGTCTTCCTATCTTCAAAAGCAAGTTTGAATAGTTGTTTGTTTTGTAGATTGTGGGTGTTTGTTTTTAGAGAAGCTTAATTCTTGGCTTGGGAATCCAGCATACAATTGGATTTTTCAGTTGCTTTTTTGTTTGGATACAACACTTTGCCAAATGTTTCAACCCGCTTCCATCCTGCACACATTTTAAAGTCCATGTAGACAAATAAGCTTTTTTTCTCCCCTTTTTTTCTTTTTGGAAGAATAATAAAGAAACAAGTGAAACCTAGCCCAGACCTTGATGGTAACATAGGAGAGACGGGCCAAAGCTTTTACAACATCTCCAAAGCTGACAAATGGATGTGGGTGATGCCCCTTTGGTGTGAATACATGCCAACATGTGTATTTGGGAAACGGATCCCAGTTCCATACGCGGAGGGGAAAAAAAGGGAAAATTCTTTACAAAAACAACATCCCGAAGATCTATTTTGGATGCCAGAGATGGAGAGGAGACCATTTCCATAGCCTGCTCACCAATCACCGATCAGATGCGTGCAGGATGTGCATTGAACGAGCACATTGTTTCTACAAATGAGGATAAGGCATTGATTTTTTTTTTTTCAGGTTCTTCTAAAGAAGCTAATTTTCTGAGCCCCACATCTGACTTCCAAATAATTCCCATCTATTTTTTCTAATTGAAGGACTACCGGGTTTCCCCGAAAATAAGACCCTGTCTTATATTTTTTTTGAACTCTGAAATAAGCGCTTGGCCTTATTTTCAGGGAGGTCTTATTATTTTGGGGTGCGTGGAGGAAACCAGAGGAAATGGTGGGGACCGGCTGTGCATAAAACCCCGATTGGGCTTATTATCAGGGGAGGTCTTATTTTTGGGGAAATAGGGTATGTGCAAAATGTTGGGAGCGCAAATTAAGAGTGCCATGGGCTTCCATCGGCCGTCCTGTACGGCAAGTATAAAAGGATACCATTGACGGAAAGACTTTGTTCTGGCGGCTCAGGAGAGGTGGAGAGTGTGGGTCACATCCTCCTTAGATGTTCCTTTTACACAGAGATTAGGGGGAAAAAACATATTCTGCCAATAGGTATTCTGGCCGCTCCGATACTACCTATCTTCAGTGGCTGCTTAAGGACGAAAAGTCCATAACTACAGCGCAGGTGGCCAGATTCTGCACAGCCGCACTGGGGATTCGTCACAAACCTGTGTCTTCTCCACCGTAGTTATGTTACATAACAAATGTGGCAAACCCTTTGCACTGCTTAAGTCCTTTCCCTTTTAGCGTTGAACCTACAACAGGCCGCACAGTTTATGGATTGTAATTTTAGTATCAATCATTGGCATCCTTCAGTCTCAAGAGACTACGGTATCGTGCTCTGGAAAGAGGTCCTAAAACAGCATCTAGTGTGACTCAAAAGGCCAATTCGAGAGTGGCCATCCCTTCCACACTGAGGGCAGATACATTCTGTCCCCCGCCAGCCCCCAGATTTCACTGGTTCCGGGACTGCCTCTTTGCCTCAAGCGTCTCTTCGAATTGGAGAAGGCCATGCTGTGTCTTTAGCCTCCAAGCTGAATGATCGGAGGCCAAGGTTTCCCAGTTGCCAGGGCCTTTAGGTCCCTCTTGCAGATATCCTTATATCGCAGCTGTGGTCTCCCTCTGAGGTGCACTAATTCTCCATCCAGAAGAACTTTTGGAATCTGACCATCAGCCATTTTCACAACTAGCTCCAGCCAGCGTAGACGTCGCTGTTTCAATAGTGTATACATGCTAGGAATTCCAGCACGTTCCAAGACTGCGCTATTTGGAAATTTGTCTTGCCAGGTGATGCCAAGAATTCGTCGGAGACAGCCCATATGAAAGGTGTTCAAAAAATTGACATCTTTCAACACCTTTCAATTTTAGTATACACTAGTTATATACTATATGTATATATATACTATAAGTATAATTGACAGACTGGATTTTATTATAGATTTTAGTTGCTATTTATTATCTTATACTAGAATTTTTAATTGTGTATTTACTGAGCGTTTTTATTTGTTCTGGTCTCTGGTCCAAGACTGTAATAAACTGATTGACTGAATTAAAAGAGTGACTAAAAACCCACACCATCAATGAAAACAATCAGTGAGCTGTTGGACAGCATTACTTGGTCTGTTGTCTGGATATTTGGGTGGTTTAGGGGTGGGGAATTTGTGGTGGGTGGGTGGGGGGGTGTTTGGGGATTGTTATGTGTGTTGGACCTGGTCTTTGGGTGTTAAATGAATTTTGTTCAGAGGTGGGTTTCAGCAGGTTCTGACCAGTTCTGGAGAATGGGTAGCGGAAATTTTGAGTAGTTCGGAGAACTAGTGGTAAAAATTCTGACTGGCCATGCCCCCATCTATTCTCTGCCTCCCGAGTCTCAGGTGATTGGGAGGAAATGGGGATTTTGCAGTAAAAAATCCCTGGATTGGGTTGGGGGGGAAGGGAGATTTTACAGTATCCTTCCACTGCCATGCCCACCAAGCCACGCCCACCAAGCCACACCTACAGAACCGGTAGTAAAAACTTTTGAAACCCACCACTGATTTCATTGTATGGGTATACTGTGTATACACGTACAATGACAATAAAGTTATTATTATTATATTATTATTATTATTAAAAGATACAACAGGAAAAAGCCCTCAACATCCCAAACTCCCGCCATTTAAATGCCTTAGTTTCTATTTTGGGTTTTTTTCCCATGTGACTTCTTAGTTGTTAGTTGAACAGAAATTTTTTGTGGAATGGGTGAAAGAGAAAAAAAAACGTTATTGATTAGGGATATGGAGCAATCCAGAACTGGAATGACTTGAGGAAAAGGAGAAAGATTCTGAGGATTAGATGCTCCAAATAACCTTTTTCCATCTCAAGTCTGAATCACTACAAACCTCCTGTTATTTAAGGTCAGGGGAAAAAAAAAACCATCTTCCATTTCTGGTTATTCCACCCCAACACAATAATATCCTCACGTACAGGATGCTTTTTCCCCGTTGTTCCTCGGGTTGATGTCGCCTTTACTTTGTCGATCTTTGGTTCCCGTCACCTCCTCCATTTGGTAAATCTCCGAAACGCACAATTTAGGGTTAAAAGCAAAGTACATCTTCCCTTCTTTGATGGTCAGGTTATGATGGCTCCAGTCCCACAGTTGCTGCAAGTTTTGGTTGTCCAGCACATAAAACGAATAATTCCTAAAAAGGAAATGTTTGGAAGAAGAAAAAAATCAGTCCATGTAAACAAAAGGCACAGATTTTTCATTCTGCTTGGGGTGCCCTTAACAAAATTTGCACAATGACCGAAACCTTAGATTTAATTTAAAAAAAAAGAATGGCAGCTACGGAACATCTCATGCAAAGTGTTAAAAGAAGCAAGGCCATCCCTAAGAACCTCAGCGGCGTGTTAATGGACCTAAGAGGTCTCCAGGTTGTAAGTTGGAAACTGTCGTTGCTTTTAAGGCTGAAGAAGTGATAAACTTCTTCAGCCTTAAACAATCTTCAGCCCTTGTTGGTTTCAGCTCCGTCTTCTCCAGAACCAGAAATCCTTTAAAAGAAAGAAAACTCTAGAAAGAGCACAAAAAAGAGCAATAAGAACGATTAAGGGTCTGGAGGCTAAACCATACGATGAACGATTGAGGGATGTCTAATCTAACAAAGAGAAGGATAAGGGGCAGTGGTGGGTTGCTACCGGTTCTCCCCGGTTCTTGCGATGCTCTCGGTGGTGGCATAGCGGCAAAAAGCTGTTTAAACTCTTGCCGCGGCGCTTCAAAGGGCCGCCCTACAGCTGATCAGTGGTAAAAGGCAGTGTGGTGGTAGACCAGTGCCTGCAAAAATAAATGGGTAGATCGGTACAGCTCTGCAAGCAGTTAAAAGCCTGGTAGACCAGTACCTCTGCTAAATCCTAAAGAATTGTTTGTCACATGATCATCAAACCACGCCTACAAAATAAGCCACGCCCACAGAACCGGTAGTAAAAAAATTTTAGAACCCACCCCTGATAAGGGGTGATATGATAGCTATCTTCTGGTACTTGAGGGGCCGTCACAGAGAAGAGGGGGTCAACCTATTTTTCCAAAGCACCAGAGGACAGGACAAGAAGCGGTGCGTGGAAGCCCTTTAAAGAGAGATCCAACCTAGAACTAAGGAGAAATTTCCTGAGTTGCAAGTCCACAGGTCTTAAAGTTGCCAAGACTGGACACGCTTGTGGTAGGCTATTCTATCAATCTAGTCTGCTGATCCACAGGGCCAAAACTACATTTCATTTCTATCAGGGGTGGGTTCTAAATTTTTTTACTACCGGTTCTGTGGGCGTGGCTTATTTTGTGGGTGTGGTTTGATGGTCATGTGACAATTCTTTAGGATTTAGCAGAGGTACTAGTCTACCAGGCTTTTAACTGCTTGCAGAGCTGTACCGGTCTACCCATTTATTTTTGCAGGCACCGGTCTACTCATTTGTTTTTCGAGTGCACCGGTCTACCACCACACTGCCTTTTAACACTGATCAGCTGTAGGGCGGCCCTTTGAAGCCCCGGGGCAAGAGTTTAAACAGTTTTTTTCCTTCTAGCCAATCAGCTGGGACTCGGGAGGCAACGAATAGATTGGGGGCGGGGCCAAATAAAAGGTAAGAATAATGCGGGGGGGGGCAGCTCCCGAACAAGGAGAACCGGTTCGGTGACGTCATATCGTCACTGCTACAGGCTCAGCCGAACCGGGCCGAACCGTGAGGAACCCACCACGGATTTCTATCCCGCTTTTAATGTAATTTTAATTAATATGTATGATCACAACTACCACCACCGATCATATTTAGTAGCTTTCCTCTGTGAAGCATTAACAAATTTAATTTGGTAACCGTTTTGGAGGTCCCAGGTCATGCGCAGATGGCGCTTTTACAGGGCAAAACACTGCAAGGGGTGGAAGTTTATCTAACTTAGAACTACTTAGACCAGTGTTTCTCAATCTTGGAAGCTTGAAGATGGGTGGACTTCAACTCCCAGAATCCCCCAGCCAGCCGGGAGTTGAAGTCCACCCATCTTCAAGCTACCAAGGTTGAGAAACACTGACTTAGACAGTGAGGACAATCGATCAGTGGAACAGCTTGCCTCCAGAAGTTGTGGGTGCTCCATCACTGGAGGTTTTCAAAAAGAAACTGGACAATCATTTGTCCGGAATGCTACAGGACCTCCTGCTTCAGCAGTGGGTTGGATTAGAACAGGGGTCAGCAACCTGCGGAGGCACATGTGACTCTTTCACCTCTCTGCTGCGGCTCCCTGTCACTCAAACTATATGTCACAACCACCGATGTGTGACACCTGATTTATTGAGGTTTTCAACCCCCGGTAGGCCAACCATGGATAAATCCAAAAAAAGAAAAGTTTCAGAAGAAAACAGAACGTTTAATTCAACTACATAGGCTAGTTTTGTGGCCGCTCAAGAAATAATCAGGCACAGGAAGGGTTTTGTGGCTCCCGGTGTTTTTTTTTCTGTGGGAAAGGAGTCCAAATGGCTCTTTGAGTGTTTAAGGTTGCAGACCCCTGGATTAGAAGTCTTTCAACCTCCCTCCCAACCCTATTATTCTATATTCTGTGGCTTAAGAGACAAGAGGGACTTTCCAGGGTGGAAGGAAGCAACACTGCCTTTTACAACATACATTCCATCACTCAGCTTGATTTACCGTTGGACAATGATACGAGTGTAGTAACACCTAGAGTTGCCTTGTGGTAAGGTGGGTGGCCAAGACATTTATACATACATATATATATGTTGGAAACCTTTTAAATCTCTTTGGAATATGAAGAGGTCCAACCATATTTTAAGAAGAGACAGGGCAGCCGCTTGTCTGGGTCTCCTGCTTCAGCAGCAGGGGGTTGGGGGGGTTGGGCTAGAAGACCTCCAAGGTCCCTCCTCAACCCTACGATCAATGGTGAAATGTAAAATTTGTTACTACCAGTTCTGTTGGCGTGGCTTGGCGGTGGGGGGGTTAATATGACTGGGTGGGCGTGGCCCACCCAATCTCTTCGGTTGAAGAGTTTGTAAAAAAAAATGCTTTTAAAGCCTCTGACGATCCCAGTTGATTTGCCTGATTGGCAGAGGCTTTTTTTCCTTTTAAAAACATTTTTTCTATAACCTCTTCGACCAAAGAGGTTGTAGAAAAAATGCTTTTAAAAGCCTCTGATGATCCCAGCTGAGCAGCGTGATCATCAGAGGCTTTTTTTTTTTTACTTTTAAAAGCATTTTTTTGGCCAAAGAGGTTGTAGAAAAAATGCTTTTAAAAATAAAAAAAAGCCTCTGATGATCGCGCGGCTCAGCTGGGCAATGGGAGAGGGAGAGGCAGGGATTTTTGCTACCGATTCTCCGAACCACCCACCTTCATCGCTACCGGATCGGGCGATCCGGTTCAAACCGGGAACATTTCACCCCTGCCTACGATTCTATCGTTCTATGGCTTGAGAGACAAGAGGAACTTTCCAGGGTGGAAGAAAGCAATGACTGCCCTTTACAACATATATTCCATCACTCTCTGGAATTTTAAGAATGCAAAGCTGACCAAATCGCAGCCGGAAGAGGGAGGGACGGGAGGGGGGAAAAACCGAGGTTGAGAATCTACTCTCATCCTGTAAGATAATCCTTTCAGGCCAGATAAATCGGACACAATGAGGGCTGGTCTCATGACCTTGCCCTGGCCTTGTTCAAACAGTTTCCACCCCCACCCCCCCACCCCAAATTCCTGTTTATTAACTAGTGATGCAACCGGTATCTGAAAAGAAGGGTTTTCGCTTGGAGGTAAAGAGAAGCAGAGAAAGCGTCCGAAGAAAAACATGGCAGGACGAAGGTCAGAATGCTGCTCCCCTCCCGTTAAGTCTGATGACCACCACGACTTTCCCCCAGCTGTACGTCCTTCAAAAATGATGTAACTCCGTTCTTTTAAGTACAGGTAGTCCCCGACTTACGACAGTTCATTTAGTGACCGTTCGAAGTTACAACAGTGCTGAAAAAAATGTGACTTAGGATCGTTTTTGCACAATTACGACTGCTGGCAGAATCCCCCTGGTCACGTGATCAAAATCCAGATGCTTGGCCACTGGTTCCTATTTATGACGGTGGCAGGGTCCTGGGATCAGCTTTGGTGACCTGACCAGCAAAATTCACTTAACAATTGTCTCACTTAGCAACAAAAAAAGTTGGGCTCCCTTGTGGTTGTAAGTCAAGGACGACTTGTCCCTGCCTTTCTCTATCTTGGTGTCTTCTCAGAGGTATCTGAAATGGAACTCTACCATCCAGTAGGCCTGGCAAGGGAAGAAGATGGGTGTTGTAACCCAATAGTCTTCAGAAGGCCACTGAATTGGGAGGGAAGGGTGAAAACAACATGAAGTCAGATGCTTACTCTGTGTTAAAGAACACAAGACACCTTATCCCCCTAAAAAACAGGACCATCCTTTCAGCTCAGTTGAGCAAACACAAGATGGCAAATCTAGTTTTGACCAGGACGACAAGTGAAAACATTTCATAGACATCTTAACACACCCAAAGTTCACCTTTTGGTTGAAATTTTCCGTAGATGATTTTCAGGCAGAGCTGTTGAACCATCCACAAGAGGACAACAAAGGGAAAAAAAAAATCTAGCAACCTTCCTGAAACCAAGGGCCATATTTGAAGGAGGAGCAGAACATATAAAAACGGAAAGTTCCAGAGTTGTTATTCAATGCCGTGAAGCTGAAGAAGGGAGAGGTGGAGGGACCAGGTTTCCAAGGTGACCATGACATGGTCTTCAGCTTATGTATTAAGACAGTGTTTCTCAATCTTGGGAAATTGAAGATGTGTGGACTTCAACTCCCAGAATTCCCCAGGCAGCCGGGAGTTGAAGTCCACACATCTTCAAGTTCCCAAGGTTGAGAAACACTCTATTCTCTAACCAGAACTTCCAAGAACCGCTTGTCCGACAATGTTATGTTCAACGACATGACTTCTTATATAAGAAACAGGCTACCCTTACCCTTCCAGTTGTTCTTCTCCGTTGATATATCGCAGGTTCTTCAAAAACGACAAGGACACCAAGGCATGAGAATGCCGGATCTTCACATATCCAGTCACCGTTTCTATCAACCCCATGAAGTCCTCCAGCTCAGAGGCGATATTGTCTGCAGGGGAGGGAGAAAAAATCGAAGACAGGAAGAGGTGATAAATCTTCCTAGTTTCGAGATTTTTCTTTGCACCACAATTAGCTTCATTGGCTTAAGAGCGGCCTTCTGAAAATGTCAACTCTTTGCTGTACAACACACCTAGGCAAGCCAGGCAGCCGGAATGCCAAACTAAATGCCACTTCAATTTAATCTAGTTAATTTTTCAGCCAGTCCAATGGCCGTCCGCCTCCCTTGAACGTTGGCTGCTAATGCCAGCATCGCATTCTGAGCTTTCAACAGCTGATGTTTTGGCAAGTTTCTCTTGGGCAGTTGTAAATCTAAGCCTTCAGGAAGCCACAGCTCCTGTGATGTTCAGTGACAGATGTAAACGTTACTGCTAGCCAAAACTGTCCCATTGAGGAGAACCTCAACTCATGCCTCAAGACAGCCTGACCATTTTAGGCAAGATAAAAGAGTATTTTTCTTCTTCCACGAATGGAAAGCTCAAAACAAATGCCCATCATTATCTTCTCAGATGCCTCTGGAAACTCAGGACAAGAAGTCATAGATGGAAGTCCCAAAAGTGCTTTTCAAAAGGCAACTGGATTTTCTTGGGTTTTTTTTTTTTTCTCCCTTGAAAAGGGGCATTGGTCTTACCTGATACACTCCTTCTCGTTGGGTGGAGATAGCTTTTGATTCAGTCCAATCAGCTAACGGACGAAGTCAACCCATTCCTGGATGCTATCTCCACCACAATGGAGAATGTTTCGCTTCTCATCCAAGCATCTTTTTTGCTTTCTGAAGACAACTGGAGAAGATTCTCAGATGAGAAGCGAAACCTTTTCAAGAAAAAAGCTAAGGAAGTTCTGCTGCCTTTTGAAAAGCATCGTTGGCACAACTGTGACCTGGATGATTGAGAATCTCCATAGCCATTTAACAAACGGAAGCCGATCAAAGAAAAGATTCAATCTGGAATTAAGGAGACAGCGGGAACAATTATTCAGTGGAATGGCTTCTCTCCAGAAATTGTGTGTGCTCGATCTTCGGAGGTTTCAGGAAGAGACTGGACAACCAGAGTGTTGTCTAAAACAGAGTTCCCCAACCGTTCCAGGTTGGTGGCCCGGAGCAAGGGGACGGGGAAAAGAGGGGATGATTTTGTTGGAGAGGCAGGTGCATGCGTGTGCCAGTGATGTTGGCGGCGATGCTTGCACAAGAGGGGCCACAAGTGCTTGCACTGAGGCTCATGTGAGTGGGGCTCGACTGCCCAATATGCTTGTGGCGACACGCAAGTAGGGCCATGCACACACGCAAACGCAGGCACACTGGCGGGCTGCTCATGTGGCCCAGTGGCGATTAGGCCACAGTCAAGTAGTGGGCAGTGGCCAAGAGGTTGGGGACCCCTGATCTAGAATGTTATAGGGCTGTGATGGCGAACCAGTGATGCGCACGTCTCTGGGCTGAAACCCAGAAGAGGAGTTGCCCAGGGGGCATGCGCGTGCTGGAAAATGAACTTCCGGTTTTTGGCGCACGCATGTGCACCAGCCAGCTAGTCTTCCAGTTACTGGCATGCATGCGTGCACGATGATCAGCTGGCTGGCGTGCATGCTCACGCTGGAAAACAGCTCATCCAGTTTCCGGCACTGCTGCACACACGAAGGCCAGTTTATCGTTGCGCGCACGTACGTGCCAGAAACCCAGAAGAGGAACGGTTGACGCTGCACGTGCCAGGCAACATGGCTCCGCATGCCACTTTGGGCACGCGTGCCATAGGTTCGCCATCAGGGTTATAGGGTCTCCTGGTTGAACAGGGGTTGGACTAGAAAGCCTCCAAGCCTCTTCCAACTTTGTTATTCTGTGATATTCTTTTCCTGTTAATTCACATTGTTTAATAAATTAGAAGTAGATTGTCCCTGATAAAAGCAGGGTCTACTTAACTATTGATATTGGTTCCTGATTGCTATTTGTACCCTATGACTATCATTAAGTGTTGTACCTTAGGATTCTTGACGAATGTCTCTTTTCTTTTAGGTACACTGAGAGCGTGTGCACCAAGAGAAATTCCTTATGTGTCCAATCACACTTGGCCAATAAAAAAAAAACCTCTATTCTAAATTCTATCTATGGCATAGAAACCAGGAGCAAACTGAGGTTCAAAGCTAACATTTCCTCGAGGTGCGTTTGCATGCAATAATAGGTCAGAACTCTTTAGCCTTCTCCCTTAGTCAAGAAGACTCTTATTATTCATATTTAACGCTCGCTCGTCCCTGCATATTTTCCCTACTTAATGGGCCTGGCTGGCTCGAGAACAAAGTCGGTGCTGTATCGTGATATAGCGAACTATTAACTCTGCCTTGTCCTCCTCCGAAAAAGCCAGAGTCAAAAAGGCCAAAACGAAGAAGGGTTAACGGGAACAAGCCGAAGGACCTGTTCACACATGCCATAAAGCAAGCCATAATTGGAAGTGTCTCGACCTCTTAGTCCAGAGGTCTTCAAACTTGGCAGCTTTAAGACTTGTGGACTTCAACTCCCAGAATTCTCCAGCCAGCATAGATTCCAACTTTGTTATTCTGCAATATCTTTTTCCTGTTAACTCACATTGTTTAATAAATTAGAAGTAGATTGTCCCTGATAAAGCTAGAAGGTCCCTGAAGTGTCTAGATCTCTTAGTCCAGAGGTCTTCAAACTTGGCAGCTTTAAGACTTGTGGAGTTCAACTCCCAGAATTCTCCAGCCAGCATAGCTATGCTGGCTGGAGAATTCTGGGAGTTGAAGTCCACAAGTCTTAAAGCTGCCAAGTTTGAAGACCTCTCTCTTCGTCCTTTCTGCCTCCAAAAGTGAAAAAACCAACCAGCATCAACTCACTCATTGTCCATACTCAACGGAGCAAGCCGAGCCCGAGTGCTTGTGTGATATACAATCCTTTTCCGTCGAATAAAGTTTCGACCGAGATTAAACCATCCGAGGGGCCTCTTTGGGGAAATCGGAACAAACTCATAATAAACGGGAGGCGGCCCATGGGGGGAATGTTTACAGCAGGCAGCTGAACAGAGAGGAGACATTCCTTCCAGCCTCTTAAAAAGGATCAGCCTGTTTCTTCAAGGACTAAGTTCTTTTGAGGAATTCAGGCATTTTAAGTTTCCCAGAAACTTTCGCTACAGCACTGAACTTCAAAGAAAATCCGAACGGAGTTATTTTTGGGTGGGTTCAGGTGACTCAAGCCAACAAGAATGCCTTCTTTTTGCTGACTTTGCAACCAGGCCCAATTTCTAAGCAAGAACCTTATCTCAGAAAGTCTACGGAGGTTCTCGGTCATCCAGGACACGGGCGTCCCAAAGGCGCTTTTTTTCCAAGAGGCAACTGGACTTTCTGGCGTTTCTTTGAAGACGTTTCGCTTCTCATCCAAGAAGCTTCTCCGGAGCTGAAGAAGCTTCTTGGATGAGAAGGGAAACGACTTCGAAGACGTTCGGGGAGGCTGCCTTGTAAAATGTCTGAAGGTATCATAAGAGAGAAGCCACAAGGCTGCTTGACTTAAAACCGGAGAGGATAACAGGGGGTCCCCAAAGCAGGGGCAGAGACAACTGCGTGGCGTTTGTGGGGTTCTAACTGATGAAATGGGGGCGTTATCAGCCTTCAAATCAAATGAATGTTCTCTTTCTTCAGGTTGGAACAACTGTGTTCCTTCTGAGGGAGGGAGGGATGGGGAGGAAGGAAGGAAGGAAGGAAGGAAGGAAGGAAGGAAGGAAGGAAGGAGAGGGAGGGAAGAAAGAGAAAAAAGGAAGGAAGGAAGGAAGGAAGGAAGGAGGAAAGAAAGAAAGAAAGAAAGAAAGAAAGAAAGAAAGAAAGAAAGAAAGAGACAGTTGGAATTTTCCCAGAAGGTGACTCATCACTCTGACAAATCGTTAACTGAACACTCATTTTCTGTTAAGACATGTACTAGACATGGCCAACTCAGCCCTGAGAAATACCAAGGTGGGAAGTCTGGTGCCAGGGTTTGAAGAGGGCATCATGTAGACTGCAGAGAAATATTTGCCACTGGGCAAATAATTAGATTCACTGATGTGCCACCCAACACGAGGGAGACAATACAAATTTAGAAAACCCCTAAACCTTATCAAGACTACCAGTAAGCCCTCTTCTCTCTTTCCTCCCGGAACTCTGATCCTGCTGCAATGCTACCTTGGGAATTCGTTGGGATTACCTGCGGAAAACCTCTCCTGCGAAACACAAGGTGTTTTCCATGGGAAGTGAAAAGCATTCTCCAAAGCTGGTACTTTATTATTTTAAAAAGAACTTAATTTGTTTTGTTGTTTTGAAAAAAACCCAACGTATTTTTAACCACTGAGTAGCCAAAGGGAAAAGGACAATTACAATTGATCATGAATGAAATGCAGGGTTGACATATCTAACATACTCTGCCATTTATTTAAGTATGTCTGTCTTGCAGCTTCAGAATGTCCCCTCCAGGCATCATGTATGCATTTTAACACGCTTCCCATGTGTTCCAGAGTGGAGTGAGAGCAGTTGGGGAAACCATAAAACTCCATTCATGGTTTCTTTAGAACAATGTGCACTTTAGAAGCTCATATAGGGGTTGTCACAGTCAACCAGGGTTACCAACTCTTTAGGTAAAGGTAAAGGTTCCCCTCGCACATATGTGCTAGTCGTTCCTGACTCTAGGGGGCGCTGCTCATCTCCGTTTCAAAGCCGAAGAGCCAGCACTGTCCGAAGACGTCTCCGTGGTCGTGTGGTCATCATGACTCAACACCAAAGGTGCATGGAACGCAGTTACCTTCCCACCAAAGGTGGTCCCTATTTTTCTACTTGCATTTTTTACCTGCTTTCGAACTGCTAGGTTGGCAGAAGCTGGGACAAGTCACGGGAGCTCACCCCGTTACGCAGCACCAGGGATTCGAACCGCTGAACTGCCGACCTTTCAATCGACAAGCTCAGTGTCTTAGCCGCTGAGCCACCGCGTCCCCTCACCAACTCTTTACGCTCTCCCAATCCAGTGTAAACTTACTCCCACGGCGGATGTTGATAAGAAGGTTCCCTCTAATTTCGGTGCATCCCTGGAGCGTCTGTGCCGAGGTGACGGAGTCGATCATCATGATTTTGTCATCTGCGCACACTTTGGGGCAGGGTCCCTCACAAGGGCTGCAGAACATGCTGGTAAAAGACAAAGGATAGGAAGAGATGAGCATGAATGACCCTTTCATGAGCCATGGTGGCGCAGCGGTTAGAATGCAGTATTGCAGGCTAATTCTGCTGGCTGCCAGCAGTTCGATCCTGATCAGCTCAAGGTTGATTCCATCCTTCCGAGGTCGGTAAAACGAGGACCCAGATTGTTGGGGACAATATGCTGACCCTGTAAACCGCTTAGAGAGGGCTGTAAAGCACTGTGAAGCGGTATTTAAATCTTATTGCTATTGCTTTTGCTATGTTATCTTGGCAGGATCTTTTACGCCAGCACACCCCTAAGTCTAAAGAGCGCTTCTTGCAACATTATTTGTTAGGTTCTAACTTGCAGCTGGTGAAATGGATTGCTAAATTTGCTATAAAATTGATGGAAAAAAGGACAAAGTTGGTGCAGCAGAATAGGGTAGGATTGCAGGAAAGAGCATTTGACTTAATAATGTAATTCTAGTAGTAGTTTTAAGACTGATTGGGTAGATGCAGGGGTGACATTGTAATATAATTTTAATCCTATTTAATTTGTATCTCAAATTATTGTATTGTATTCTGATTTTATTTTAGATTGTATTTTACTCTAATTTCATTTTAAATGAAATTTAAAATGAACACATTTTAAATCGTGTTTTATTCCTATTCCAATTTTATCTTAATTTGTTTCTACCAAATTTTTGTAGTAATTGTTTCTGGAGCTCTGCATTTTTGATATGGCCCAAGGGCTAATCAATAAATAAAGACTAAGACTAAGACTAAGACTAAGACTAAGATATCCTGTCCTGTCCTGTCCTGTCCTGTCCTGTCCTATCCCTTTCCTTATCCCTATCTCTATTCCTTTTCTATTGCCATGGTAGCTCAGTGGTTAGAGTGCAGTACTGCAGGCTCCTCCTGCTGACTGCCGGCTGCCTGCAATTTGGCAGTTCGAATCTCACCAGGCTCAAGGTTGACTCAGCCTTCCATCCTTCCAAGGTCAGTAAAATGAGGACCCGGATTATTGGGGGACAATATGCTGACTCTGTAAACCACTTAGAGAGGACTGTAAAGCAGTACGAAGTGGTATATAAGTTTAGATGCTATTGCTACTCCTGAGGGGATCTTTCTAACAAAGTATGATTGGGCAACCCAACCTAGAGGTAAGGACATTTATTGAGAGTGAGAAAAATTAATCCATGGAATAGCTTGCTGCTTGAAATTGTGGGTGTTCCATTTCTGGAGGTTTTTAAGAAAAAAACTGAACAACCATTTGTCCAGGATGGTGTAAGGTCTCCTGCCTTGGGCAAAGGGTTGGTCTAGATTAGAAGACCTCCAAAGTCCCTTCCAGGCCTACGATTCTATGATTTATTAAGTATCTTTGGATACAAGATACCCATAACAGAATGGATGTGTTCAGGGGTGAAATGCTCCCGGTTCAGACCGGGTCACCCGATCCAGTAGCAATGGCGGCAGGTGGTTCGGAGAACCGGTAGCAAAAATCCCTGCGCCACCACCACACCAGCTGAGCCGCGCGATCATCAGAGGCTTTTTTTTTTTTTTTACTTTTAAAAGCATTTTTTTTCTACAACCTCTTCGGCTGAAAAAGTTCTTTTAAAAGTTAAAAAAAAAGCGCCTCTGATGATCCCGCGGCTCAGCTGGGATCGTCAGAGGCTTTTCAAAGCATTTTTTTCTGCAACCTTTTCGGCCGAAGTGGTTGTAGAAAAAATGCTTTGAAAAGTTAAAAAAAAAAAAGTTGGCCACGCCCACCCAGTCACATTACCCCCCCCACCAAGCCACGCCCACAGAACCGGTAGTAACAAATTTTACATTTCACCACTGGATATGTTTCATATCTTTTCTGCAAGATCATATTTGAAACATCTCTGGAAGTGAGTTTAAATTGGATCCATTTGGTCATTCAACTTGTCTCCCAGAGTTGTGGATGCTCCACCACTGAAGGCCTTCAAGAAAAAATTGGATAGTCATTTGTCCAGGAGAGCAATAGCACTTAAGACTTATATACCGCTTCACAGTGCTTCACAGCCCTCTCTAAGCAGTTTACGGAGTCAGCATTTGGTCCCCCCCACCCATCTGGGTCCTCAGAAGAATGGAAGACTCAGAATTGAACTCTTGGAAGTACAAGTAATGCAACAGAAGTAGTCCTTGACTTACAATCACAATTGAGCCCAAAATATCTGCTGCTAAGCGAGACATTTATCAGTGAATTTTGTCCTATTTTACGAGCTTTCTTGCCACGGTTGTTAAGTGAACCGCTGAGGTTGTTAAGTTAGTAATGCAGGTTTTTAAGTGAATCTGATTTCCTCAACTGACTTTGTTTGTCAGAAGGTTACAAAAAGTGGTCACGTGTCCCCAGGTCTCTGCAACCGTCATAAATATGAATCACTTGCCAAGCGTCTGAATTTTCATTACCTGAGTCTATATTGTACAACACATCCAGATTTCTCTTTGTGTTGCCTTTGTATTGCACTGACAAATTTGGCTCGAATTTAGCGTGCAAGCCACAAGGACAAGATTGATCTTTCTTTCTTTCTTTCTTTCTTTCTTTCTTTCTTTCTTTCTTTCTTTCTTTCTTTCTTTCTTTCTTCTTTCTTTCTTTCTCTCTCTCTCCTTCCTTCCTTCCTTCCCTTTCTCTCTCCCCCTCCCCCCTCTGTCAGCTGATTCCCGGCTGAGTCACATGGTATCTTTGCAATCCAGTGGCTCCCATGATACTTTACATGAATTTACAAGCTCATATTTCAAATGCTTCAGCACAAGGCACTGTTGATACACGCCAGAAACTTTTGAGAACGCACACTAAGAATTTTTGGTCCTTCGGTTTGCAAGCGATGGGTGTGCGATCCAGGGAGACTGGAGCAGAAAAACACATCGAGCACACACACGGACACAAATGCCACAAGCACACTGGCTATCATTCCCTCTTTTCCGTCCATCTTTTTTTCCATTTGGATAAAATAAACACCTGGCCCTCTATTTTGTTTTTTTAATGAGTGCTTTTAATTGCTTGAAAACACAAGTGGCCAGATAGTAGCGGAGGAAAAACACCGTTTCCAGGTAAACATTCGCTTTCCAGCTGGGGGGCAGAGATCACTGCTTTGCACCTGTATGTAAACTAGAAATTCTTCGGCAGGAAAAAAAGGAGAGGTGTGTTTGGACAGCTTCACACAAAACAAGGGACGCCAGACGTCATCAGCCGGCTCAACTCAACCCAAATAAAAAGGCACCGTCCAGGACATTAAAAACAATTTAAAAATCCCCGCAGGGAATTCTCCCTCTGCAGAAGAAGTATTTCCTTTTTAATTACCCCTGGATCAGGAATGCCGACGGCTCTTAATCAGGCAGCCGATAAAAGCGGATTCGGCACTTATTTCATTTCGGCATCGCAACAACAATCAATTCTTGGATAGACTGGCGGATCAGTTCAGACTGGAGTTAAGCCGCACCGGCGAATTTTTAAACGAAACCCCGCGAAAAAAATGTGCCACCCGTGGATAAGCTGAAACGTTCGTGTGTTTTGATTTTTTTGCAATTGGCGTAACTGCAGGAGGCACGTTTTTCATTGGCGTTTTGGTTAAAAGTTGGATGGTCTATTTTTCACAGGGCAGGGGTGACAAACTCAAGGCCTGCGGGCTGCATGCGGCCCGCGATGTGGTTGGATCTGGCCCGCCGGGCCGTCCTGGGAAATGTAAGGGGCTGGCCCAGTCTACCCACGTCCAGTGGTGAAATTCAGCCGGATCTATCCAGCTTGCACGATCTGGTAGGATCCGGAGGCTCCGCCCACCCGCCCGGATGTCATCATGTCCCGTTTTTGACCTTCTGTATGTGAGCGCATGCGTGCGAGTGCTCACATTTGCGATCCGGTAGTGAAGGTAAGTGCATTTTACCCCTGCCCGTGTCACTTTGGCCCGGTCTACCCAGTGCAAAGAGGAAACATGCCAGCAGTTTGGGGAGTAGTGTCAAGCTGGCCCTGCCCATCCAGTTGGCCACACCCACCCAGTTGGCCACGCCCCCACCAGCGCCCCCCCCCCCCGAGGTCAACCACAGCCCTGATGCGTCCCTCAATGAAATTGAGTTTGACACCCCTGATATACAGGATACAGGTACTCCTCGGCTCATCTGGTTGATGAAAATTTTGTAACCAGACTCTTCCAGAAATCCTATCTTTTATTTCCCTGGGAACAGCAATTCAGTATTCACTAATTTAGTAATCTCTGTCGATTTCACAGGACGTAACTTCAGCAAATTACAGTCCTCGATTTAGAGACATTTGCTTAGTGACCTACGAAGTTACAACGGCACTGGGAAAAAAAGTAACTTACGACCATTTTTCACACTTGTGACTGTTGCAGCGATCAAAATTCGGGCACTTTGCAACTGACTTACATTTACAACGATCGCAGGGTCATGTGATCCCTTTTGCGACGAGCAAAATCAATGGGGAAATCAGATGCACTTAATAACCGTCTTACTAACTTAACAAGTATAGTGACTCTCTTTAACAACTGTGGCAAGAAAGATTTTAAAATGGAGCAAAATTCACTCAACAATTGTCTCATTCAACAACAGAGGTTTTAGGCTCAATTGTGGACATAAATTAAGGACTTCCTGTATTTGAAACATTCTTAGAGGCCCCCATTAAGGGTTCAGACTCTTTCTCACCCCCACCAGCAAGAAAAAAAAAATCAAAGCTACTTGCCCAGTGGTGAAATCCAATTTTTTTTACTACCGGTTCTGTGGGCGTGGCTTGGCGGGTTTGGTGTGGCTTGGTGGGCGTGGCAGGGGAAGGATACTGCAAAATCCCCATTCCCACCCCACTCCAGGGGAAGGATACTGCAAAATCTCCATTCCCACCCCACTCCTGACGGAAGGATATTGCAAAATCTCCATTCCCACCCCACTCCAGGGGAAGGATACTACAAAATCCCCATTCCTTCACCACTCCTGGGGGAAGGATCTTGCAAAATCTCCATTCCCACCCCACTCCAAGGAAAGGATACTGCAAAATCCATTCTCTCCCCACTCCTGGGGCAAGGATATTGTAAAATCTCCATTCCCACCCCACTCCAGGGGAAGCATACTGCAAAATCCCCGTTCCCTCCCCACTCCAGGGGAAGGATACTGCAAAATCCCCATTCCCACCCCACTCCAGGGGAAGGATACTGCAAAATCCCCATTCCCACCCCACCCCACTCCAGGGGAAGCATACTGCAAAATCCCCATTCCCACCCACACTCCAGGGGAAGCATACGGCAAAATCCCCATTCCCTCCCCACTCCAGGGGGAAGGATACTGCAAAATCTCCATTCCCACCCCACTCCAGGGGAAGCATACTGCAAAATCCCCATTCCCCTCCCTCCCACTCCAGGGAAGGATACTGCAAAATCCCCATTCCCTCCCCACTCCAGGGGAAGGATACTGCAAAATCCCCATTCCCACCCCACTCCGGGGAAGCATACTGCAAAATCCCCATTCCCACCCCACTCCAGGGGAAGCATACGGCAAAATCCCATTCCCTCCCCACTCCAGGGGGAAGGATACTGCAAAATCTCCATTCCCACCCCACTCCAGGGGAAGGATACTGCAAAATCCCCATTCCCACTCCATTCTGGGGCCAGCCAGAGGTGGCATTTGCCGGTTCTCTGAACTACTCAAAATTTCCGCTACTGGTTCTCCAGAACCTGTCAGAACCTGCTGGATTTCACCCCTGCACTTGCCCTTCCTGTGTGTAAACACAAGCGTTCCCCGTTACCTTTGGGTATCGTTGCGCACAAATCCTGGGGGACACTCTTGTACACACTCATCGTCATGGATCACAAAGCTCTCATATTCCCCAAGTAGATCCGAGGAAGGGATCCGGGAACAGTTCTCCTTGGTAATGCAACGCCAGCCCTCAAACTTGTAGGTGTTGGGTGGGCAGGTAGGAACACAGGTGCCATCGTGGTAGTAGTTGCGACAAGCCACACAGGCCGAGCTGTTGTGCGGTGAGGTGCAGCTGCCCAAGCATTCAGGGTGACAGCATTCATTCTGGTCTGTACAAGCATGTTTGCCACAGGAACTGGGACAGGCTGGAAAGAGAGAGAACAGAGCAGGAGGCATGAAAAGACTATCTTAAATTGGAAGGAAGGGAAGACCAACAGTTGACATGATTTAGCAATAGCAATAGCGCTTAGACTTATATACCGCTTCACAGTGCTTTGCAGGCCTCTCTAAGCGGTTTACAGAGTCAGCCTCTTGCCCCCAACAATCTGGGTCCTCATTTTACCAACCTCGGAAGGATGGAAGGCTGAGTCAATATTGAGCCGGTTAGGATCGAACTCCTGGCAGTGAGCATAAGTTAGCCTGCACTACTGCATTCTGACCACCAGGGCTCTTAAACTTGGCTAAAGTTCATCAGTTTCCATTTGGCTCCTCTTGCCATCAAAGGTTTCCCAAAACTAGACTTTTAACAAGGTGTTAACTGCAAAAGGAACCCAATCATAAGGTTGATTCTGGTCACAAAATCTGGAGGGTTAGGAAAAGCAATGGTGAACTACCCTGTGAAAATCTCACCAGAACACTTTATGGCAATAACTCAACATGTGCACTAAGAATGGCTGATTGAAGAAGAGTTGATGCCTTTGAACTGTGGTGCTAGAGTGAATTACTGAGTATACCATGCACAGCCAGGGTAACTAACCGAGGTATTTAAATTGTATAAAACCAAAACATCACTAGAAGGTGATGAGGTAAGAGCCTGAGTGGCGTAGGAGGCTAATGCCTCCTAAGGCAGCATTTAACATCCAGCTGCCTGCAATTACTGTGAGTTCAATTCTCACCAGGCTCAAGGTCGACTCAGCCTTCCATCCTTTCTAAGGTAGGTAAATTGAGGACCCAGTTTGTGGGGGCAATAAGCTGACTTTGTATAAATATACAAAAGTATGAAGGCTACTGCTTAACGCATTGTAAGCCGCTCTGAATCTCCGGAGAAGGGCGGCATATCAATCAAATTTTTAAAAAAGGTAAAATCATAAGACCACGTATGCTTTACTTTGGCCATATCAATTCATTGGAGAAGGCAATGATAACTAGGAATGGTTAGGGAAACAATAAATAACAGGCAAGCAAAGAGGAATTTTGCTTTGCAGGATTTGGGTATGTCTAGTTTAGATTACATTACATTAACAGAGTTGGAAGGGACCTTGTAGGTCATCTAGTCCAACCCCGTCCAAGCAGGAGACCCTACATCATTTCTGATGAATGGCAGTCCAATCTCTTCATATGACATGGTTTAGAAACATCGGTGTCCAAGGGAATGAAATATTCATCAAATCTGTAAGCCACCAGTTTCATTCCGATGCATTGCAACTTACAATGATTGACATATCCATGGTGCGCCTAAAGCCACACACACAAAAAGTCACATATAAACTTCAAAATGCCCATATTATTTAAACAGCCACCTCGTCTTCTTTTTTACTTCCTCTTTTATCATTTCAGCTGTCGAGGGAATAACCTCATGCACAGTGTAATTGTCACCATCACATATTACCCCACTAAAGTAGTAACGCTATTACAGTAGTAAATCAAGGCAAGACAAGGTACACTACAGGTAGTTTTCAGCCCACGACCACAACTAAGCCCAAAATTTCCACTGCAAGGCAGTTGAGTTTAATGAAAAGAAAGACTAGGGCTGACATGTTCCAATATCTAAGGGGCTGACACAAAGAAGAGGGGGTCAAGGTTTTCTCCAAAGCACCTGAAGGCAGGATAATGGATGGAAACTAATCAAGGAGAGAACCAAGCTAGAACTAAGGAGGAATTTCCTGACAGTTAGAACATCTCCAGAAGTTGTGGATGCTCCATCACCGGAGGTTTTTAAGAAGAGATTGGACAACCATTTGTCTGAAATGGTATAGGGTCTCCTGTTTGAGCAGGGGTTGGACTAGAAGACCTCCAAGGTCCCTTCCAACTCTGTTATTTGGTTAAAGAACATGCTGGCTTGATCACATCAAATCTGATACCAAGTTGAACATCCAACAATTAAAAGAAACTGTGCTTGACAGGGTAACATGGAGAATACTTGCCTATAAGAGTTGGGCACAACTAAATAGTTAAAACAACAACAAAAGGTAAGTACATTTGAAGATTATGGGATTACAACTGTGTAACCGAAGCACGTTTAATTACAATTTGCTGCATCAATCAAGTTAATTAATGATATAGCCTCTCAACCACTCCTAGAATGTCCGTAATAGTTTCACCATAGAAAATGCAAGATATATCTCAAACAGCCAATGCAACAGAGGAATAAACTCACACCTAGCCGATAAATCAAGGATAAACACAATATCTTAGTGTAATCTTGTGACGTATTTGGTAATAGGTGCAAGATAAAGCAAGCTATTACTACAGCTAATGGGCAAGCCCAGACAGCCCTTAGGACCGTGATGGCGAACCTGTGGCCCGTGTGCCACCGGTGGCACACGGAGCCATATCTGTGGGCATGCAAGCGTTGCCCTAGCTCAGCACCAGCGCACTTGTGCGCACCAGCCAGCTGATTTTCAGGCTTTCCGGGCCCACTGGAAGTTGGGAAACGAGCCATTTCCGGCCTCTGGAGGGCCTCCGGGGAGGTGGGTAAGGCCGTTTTCGCCCTCCCCAGGCTCCTAGAAAGCCTCTGGAGCCTGGGGAAGGCGAAAAACGGGCCTACTGGGTCCACCGTGCCATCATGGGCCAAAAGTGTGGGGAGCGGGGGGGGGTCGCATGGACATGCGCGGGGCATGGGGTGACATTGAATTATGGGTGTGGGCACACACGCACGCGACACCCCCCCCCCCACGCTTTTGGCACGCGACGGCAAAAAGGTTAGCCATCACTGCCTTAGGATAATCAGATGCTAACCAACAATATTCAAGAACCTGAAAACATACTTTTAATAATCAGTCCAGAATTTAAAACTACTATCCTTTGAAGGTCCACGTTTAAAAAGTTGGATCCCAATTGATACAGCAACCAAAGCTAATAAAAACACACTTGCTTTTATCTTGAACATCCAAAAGCAGTAAGGACTCCAGCATCTTCCAGAAGCTGCTTATGTGGTCCTCAAAGCCTTTCTTTCTCCTCCCCAAAACCCCCCTTCATTCTATCATTGATTATATTGCCTAATATAATCTGTCAAACTCGTGGCCCGTGGGCCGGATGTGTCACGTGCTGGCCACACCCACGCCCAGTTTAGTGAAGGGGGGAAAGTCCCAATATGTCATGTGACGACACTGTGACGACGCGAGTTTGATACCCCTTGCTTAGTTGGGATAACAAAGCGTCTACAAGAAAACAACCAAGCTCAGAGACATCATGGACCCCAGTCCTCCTCCTCCCCCTCCCTTCTACCACTGATGTTGTTACCTAGTTGGGTAATGAAACGTTTGCAAGAAATCCACCCAGCTCAGAGCGCACCAACGACCCCAAATTCAATCCTAAACTGCAAATATTCTCTTCTACTGATGCTTTCTGGCCTGCTTGTTTTTTTCAGCTACTTATCCCAGAGATGCCAAAGACTGAATAAAATATGGGAATAAAAGTCTTAGGAATTTTATGCCTATGAAATATGCGCTCTACCGCAAAACTATGTTTGCTCATGACAGCAAAAGAACCAGCGGCCTCTTCCTGACCCTTCCCACCTTTGAGAAGCAACAATGATTGTGATATCGCACCAACCTAGCTGCAAGTGGCTTCGGGCTTTTATTTTTATTTCAAGCTAAAGATACGCAATGGCCATTTCAATCAGAAAAAAGTTGGAAGGGACCTCGGACGTCTCCTAGTCTCCAAGCAAGAAACCCTATACCCGTGATGACGAACCTATGGCATGCGTGCCACAGGTGGCATGCGGAGCCATATCTGAGGGCACACGAGCGTTGCCCTAGCTCAGCTCCAGTGCACATGCGTGCGCCGCCCAGCTGATTTTCGGGCCTTCCGGGCCATCGGAAGTCGGGAAATGGGCTGTTTCCGGCTTCTGAAGAGCCTCCGGGGGATAGGGAAGTCCGTTTTCACCCTCCCCAGGCTCCTACAAAGTATCTGGAACCTGAGGAGGCCGAAAAACAGGCCTTCCGGGCCCATTGGAAGTCAGAAAACAAGCCGTTTCCGACTTCTGGAGGGCCTCTCGGAGGTGGGAAAGTCTGGTTTTTTTTAATTAATTAATTTATTTATTTTAATTTGATTTATATGCCGCCCTTCTCCGGAGACTCAGGGCGTCTTACAATGGGCTGAGCAATTGCAATGCGTTTTCGCCCTTCCCAGGTTCCTAGAAAGCCTCTGGAGCCCGAGGAGGCCGAAAAACAGGCCTACCGGGCCCACCGCATGCCAAAAGCTGGGGGAGCACACGGGGATCACACGTACATGCATGGGGGGCGGGGCACGGGGGCGCATTGAATTATGGGTGTGCTCCCCCCGCTTTTGGCACGCGATGGCAAAAAGGTTAGCCATCACTGCCCTATACCATTTCAGAGAATCAGCTGTCCAGTCTCTTCTTAAAGACCTCCAGGGATGGAAGCACCCACAACTTCTTGTGGCAAGCCGTTCCACTGGTTTAATTATCCTCATCGTTAGGAAGTTTCTCCTTCATTCCAGGTTGCTTCTCTCCTTGATTAGTTTCCATCCACCGTTTCTTTATCCTGCCCCTCTGGTGCTTTGGACAATAAGTTGACCCCCTCTCCTCCCTCTCCTTTCCAGAAAGGGTTTCCAGAATTATCTGGAGCAAGTGGCTGAAATAGTGAGCTGGTTATTAGCTCCGCATCGCAAGAACTCTCTTTGCTCAGACGCCAGACTTGTTTCGCCTCCAAGCGAGATGAGCCTCATTCGATGCCTGTAAATATTAGAAGTCTCCAAGGCTATTAAGAGATTTTTTTTCAGTAACTCCACAGACAGTAAGCCTTGGAAGCAGATGGAGGACTCCCCCCCCACCCCCACCGTCAGTGCCAAAACTTAAGATTTAGCATGATAATGAGATTTCCCCTTTACACAAGGATATCAGACAAAGCCATTGCCTCTGAAGGGCTCTGCTCACCATATCTAAGGAATATTACAGGTTTGC